ATAGAGTATGCATTGGAGCGCCCCCGTTCGAAAAAAAACATCTTTCAATGTAAGTCTATGGGACCACTCGGGGCGAATCTCAGCCGTAGTGAAATCGCCCCAAAAGAGGCGGTACTCCACAGAACGTGACATGACGCTGATTGGACTATATCCAGAGGCTGACAGTGACGGCTAGCGTGACTCTGTGGTTGAATGACATTAGTGGTGCGTCGCCCAATCGCCCTAATGAAGAAACCGCCCCTGGTCTAGGGGGGGTGGGCATGTGACCCCCCCAAATATCCAATCGAAATCCATAATTTCGATCGGATCATTGAGGTTTATTAGTAATAAATCGGCATTTTGCGACCCCCACTGCCACTGTGTAGCATATTATTGTGTGCTAAGGGCCTCTATGAGATGATAGGACAATAGTCTGAGTCTATAATTGGCAATAAGTAACGGCAAACAGTTATAAGTGACTCAGAATTGTGCGCAGTTGCGTATACAGCACACGACTTCCCTAAAGGCATTCACCTTCAGCGAGCGCGATGCCGATCACACAACGCGGTTCGAATTCGACCCTCGATCGATGGCTGCGCCATCGCCGCACACGCGTCGAATAAAAAGTAAGGGACAACTCCTTACTTACTAACAACTCCTCTATCATTTTTCATTGCTGGAGGGATTGCCTCTTTTACCTGAAAATCTTGGCTCCGCCATTGAATGCGTCCATCTCCTGGACGCGAACTTATTTCATCACTTCTAGATTTGAAGCTTTCGTGACTGCAAGGATTCATACTCTTAGTTCTTTCGGTAAAGTCACGTAGGTAAACTTGTATTTAAGAGCTGGCATCTTGAATCCCTGCCTCACTTGATGCAGCAAATCTGGCTGTGACGGTCCCACCTGATGACGGAGACTTGTGTTGCCTCCGAAACGTCGTGATTTTTATTTTATTTTTTATTAATTTTAATTTCATTTTTTACCTACGTGACTTTACCGAAAGAACTAAGAGTTTTATTTCATCACCCTACCTCTGCCGTGGGACGGCCACCACTCTCAGGCATTCCCCGTCCTTGGTCTGCCACTCCGGTGCCACGAGTGGGGAGCGGAGGTGGTGCGTCTGCCCAGTGTTTCCAGTCCCGTCAACCCCTAACTCAACTCTTTATTCTTTTTTACCGGGTTAAGTCCCACTGAGTTATACAGCTCGTTTTTTTCAGAAGAGACCTGGCCGCACATGTGAGCTCTACGAAGTGGCTCACCACGTGGAAATGTCGAGCATCAGCAGCCAAATACTGTGAACGCGTGATGATGATTCCAAATGTGGAGGGGAAACCCGGATTACCCGGAGAAAAATCCACGCGACCACGGGGAGAGACACGCAAACTCCAAATATACAGCAGGCGTCAGGGTTGGGATCGAACCCACGACCTCCTGTGTACCAGGCGAGGTATTTAACATCTTCAAGCCACCTGAGTCTGTCCAGTGGACATAAAGTCTGCGATCCCTCGACAACCTCACGTGGCCTCAAGGTGCACCTAGCCTGGCACAAGCGCCGTGGTGGCGTCCACCGCCGCTTAGTGGTGAACGGCGATTGCTGCTATTGTTGGTGTCTCTGGTGAACGTGTTGATGTTTATTTTCTGTTTACATTAAACCGCTATTTGAGTTTGAACTGTGTGTGGGGTTGGGCATCGTTTGATGGGGCTGCTTGCCCCAGGGACCAGTTCAACCGGCTTTGGAGAGTTCTGGCAGGGCTCACCGCAAACCTCATAGCCAAGGTTGCATCCACAGGACATCGATGGGGGTGGCGGGGCAAATACTCAAGAGACAGAAAAAATTTACCCGTAAAAACTAAGTTTTTCACTATAAATCCTTTATATGCGTGGCATCGGTTTTATTTTATTATTCATTTCTGTTTTTCTTGAGTAAGAGTTTCATTTTTATCACATTGGTATTTTAAATTAAATATGAAAAAACAAAAATTCCTAAAAAGTGGAACATTTTGGAAAAAAAATTTCACGAAAATAAATTGTCACGCACAACGAGTCTGTGTGCAAAATGTCAGCTCGATTGGATCACGGGAAGTGGGTTAAAAAACGACCGAAAGATTTGCACGGTCGTAAGCAAGCAAGCACGCACGCAAGCAAGCACGCAAGCAAGCGAACTTAATAAAAAGGATTTAAAAAGAGATCTGACTGCGCATTACAGCTACCAAACCTGTCACGGTCGTAAGCAAGCAAGCACGCAAGCAAGCGAACTTAATAAAAAGGATATAAAAAGAGATCTGACTGCGCATTACAGCTACCAAACCTGTCCTCGTTCAAATTGTGGTTGTCTCGTGCTAAATCCATGATACGGGGAAAAGGGGCGGAGCTACCTGCGTAGTTAGTGGGAGTGGTTACCCGAGCGGTGGGAGTGGCTCACCTGGATGGGAGTGGCTCACCTGGATGGGAGTGGCTCACCTGGATGGGAGTGGCTCACCTGGGTGGGAGTGGCTCACCTGGGTGGAAGTGGCTCACCTGGGTGGGAGTGGCTTACCTGGATGGGAGTGGCTCACCTGGGTGGGAGTGGCTCACCTGGGTGGGAGTGGCTCACCTGGGTGGGAGTGGCTCACCTGGGTGGGTGTGGGGTGGGGGCTACATGGGAAGCGGGGCAGGGCTAAGCGCGAAAGAAATCGGGAAATACTCTTAGGTTTTTTCGGTAAAGTCACGTAGGTAAAAATAAATAAATAAAGATAAATAAGAAAAATAATAAAATAAATAATACAAATAATAAAATCACGACGTTTCGGTGGCAACACAAGCTTCCGTCTTCAGGTGGAACCGTCACAGCACGATTGCTGCATCAAGTAAAGAGAAATTCCAAGGGCCCCGACCTTGTATATTTTTATTATTTATCTTTTATTATTTATTTTTTACCTACGTGACTTTACCGAAAAAACCTAAGAGTATGAATCCTTGCGGTCACGAAAGCTTCAAATCTAGAAGAATCGGGGAAGCCACTGATGGGCGTGGCTAGTGACGTAGTGGGCGGAGCTGTGTTAAAATAGATGGGCGGGGCTTGGGGAGGGGCGGGGCTGAGAGAAGGCGCGGTCACCGAAAGAACTCAAATCTAGCAGAATCGAGGGAATCCACTGATGGGCGGGCTAGGGACTCGTAGGGGCGGAGCTGTGTTAAAATAGATGGGCGGGGCTTGGGGAGGGGCGGGGCTGAGAGAAGGAGGGGCTAGCCAGGTCACCCCCCCCCCCCATAATAGGGCAGTGGTCTGTCGGTGTAACATTTGTCATTTTCATTTTCCATCTACCTGATTTTACCGAAAGAACCAACAATATGTAAAATTACAGTTGTGTATCCAGGTAATAACCTGCTCTGGCGCACCGTGTCAATAGGCTCATACAAATCTGATCTCGCACACCCCTCCCAGATTATAAGACGCACCTGCCAACCTAAGCCTTACAATCTGGTGAATACGGAATAAAGGAACGTTGTGGAGCTATGTTGACTGTGCGCAGTAGAGGGCAGTGCAGCAAAATCTTACAAGCTGCCCGCGCCTTCACCATCCCGCAGTGACCAGCGTGGTGAGGCATGATCACATATCCCCCCCCACGGCTCGCGTGGGGTGGGGAGGTACTCGTCATCCAGCAGTGGAATTCAAGAGCCGAATGGCTCACAGGGCTATGCCTAACAAATTAACTTGAACTTGAGTGACGAACGGGGCTGTGCGTGTCCGTTGCGTCGTAACGATGTGAGCGCGTCGCAAGCCTCGATACGTTACAAGAGACCGTGCTGCCACCTGCTTGTAGACATTTGTCATTGATGAGAACTCAGAACCCGACTGTATTTATATACAGTTGGAGGAATCCGATGAGCTAGTAAGCGGTTTTTTTCACGGATGTCCAGTAAAGTGGCTCAAGGGGACGGGGGTGGATCATGGTTCATGGACAAAAAATTTAGTTTGGACCAAATATTCGGCTCGAATTCAGATCTTAATAAACCTACCACGCAAATCATTCATATGTAAACAAACCCATAAAACACAAACCGCGGTTGGCTTCCCACAAAATGGTCCTAATTGTATCGACCCCAGAGGCATGATAGGCTGAGTCGAGCGCTTCCAACCAAAGAGCGCGTGGGGGGAATGTACGACATAAACATCAGCCATGCTCTCTCCACTGCTGGATGAAGCCCTCCACAAGCCGTCGATGTAACGACGATCCATCTCGCTCCTTGCACGCGAGCTGATTCCATCGCTCCGTCTCCGCGATGGACGTCTCCGCTCAGCCGCGTTCCCTGCCTTGGCTGCCACTCTACTCGGGGCTTGTGGGTTCAGCTGCCCTGGAGAGAGAGGTTCGAGGGTGGGGGCGGAGCAAAGGAGGAGAGGTTGAGCGATGAGATGAGAGGCGTGAAGAGGAGAGGGGGGGAGGAAAGGGGAGAAATCGAAGGGGCGGGGGGAAGAGATTGTTGGATGGGAGAGAGAGGAACGAGCGGAGAGGTGAGAGAAGAAATGAGATGAGAGGAGAGATGAGCAACAGACGAAAGGGAGGGGGAGGGGGAAGAAGTGAGAGTCGAGGAGCGAAGTGAGGGTACACAGGAGAGGGGGAAGAGGGAGAAGGCTGATAGTGGAGTGCGGATAGAAGTCGTGAGTGAACGAGGGGGGGGGGGGTCCCGCTATTGATCCGCCACGGACGCCCTTGGCCAAACCACTCAGCAGCCACTCGCCGGGGCTATTGAGATCAGGTTCGGGCCACACACACAGAGGGCAGGGAGCTGGGACACACACACACAGAGGGCAGGGAGCTGGGGCACACACACACAGAGGGCAGGGAGCTGGGGCACACGCTCACACACACAGAGGGCAGGGAGCTGGGGCACACACACACAGGGCAGGGAGCTGGGGCGCTCACACACACACAGAGGGCAGGGAGCTGGGGTACACACACACAGAGGGCAGGGAGCTGGGGCACACACACACAGAGGGCAGGGAGCTGGGGCACACACACACAGAGGGCAGGGAGCTGGGGCACACACACACAGAGGACAGGGAGCTCGGGCACACACACACAGAGGGCAGGGAGCTGGGGCGCTCACACACTCACACAGAGGGCAGGGAGCTGGGACACACACACACAGAGGGCAGGGAGCTGGGGCACACGCTCACACTCACACACAGAGGACAGCGAGCTGCGGGCACACACACACATAGGTTAGCGAACTGGGGCACACGCACACACACACAGAGGTTAGCGAGCTGGGGCACACACACACACATAGGTTAGCGAGCTGGGGCACACACACACACACAGAGGTTAGCGAGCTGGGGCACACGCACACACACACAGAGGTTAGCGAGCTGGGGCACACACACACACAGAGGACAGCGAGCTGCGGGCACACACACACACATAGGTCAGCGAACTGGGGCACACGCACACACACACAGAGGACAGCGAGCTGCGGGCACACGCACGGGGCCCGACTGACGGCTTGGACATCACAGGTGTCACTACAACAGCGTTACCTGGTAATGTGTTCATCACTTGCTCAGCGGAAGAAGAGAGGGGCGATTTGGACATGGAACGTCGTGGAGTGTCGCTCATAGTCCAGGAGGAGTACTAGAATTCAGTTTGGGGTGATAAAGCATCGCATTGCGTAATTGTCTCTTCACGCTCCACAGAGTGGGGGCCACGCAGTGGCTCGGGCAGGGGCTCGGAAACCTGCGGCTCCGGTGCCGCGTGCGGCTCTTTAAGGGCCGCTGATTTTTCTTCTTCTTTTTCTTCGTGAGAATTGTATAATAAAATACAATTCTCACAATTGTGAGAATTTGTATTTTATTATGTTTTATTTTTATTATTTTATTATTTCCCTTCTACGTGACTTTACCGAAAGAACCAAGAAGATGAATCCCTGCAGTCACGAAAGCTTTAAATCGAAATTTGACCGCTGCTTTGTGACTTCGTTTATCGAGGACCACCGTTCCGTCTGATTTACGCGCATTGCGGCTATTTAAATATTGAGGGTTTTTTATTTTATTTTAACCGAATTCGAAAAAATGTCTCTTCTTGTTGTGTTTGTGGCCGATCTCTGGGCTAGGGAGTGTTAGTGTGTGTGTGTGTGTGTTCAACGTGTGTGTGTTTGTTCAACGTGTGTGTGTGTGTTCAACGTGTGTGTGTTCAACGTGTGTGTGTGTTCGTGTGCGAGATAAAGGCGTGCAGTGCAGCGGTTACGCGCAGCGCTACGATCCCGGCGACTCGAGTCCGATTCTCGCTCACGGCCAACACCAGTGACGATTATCTGAACCGGTCCTGGGCCTCCCCTATGTTGACTCAGCCTTGAATGAGTACCTGGTGCGGTGTGTAAACATCACCACTGGGGAGACAAAGGCGGTCGGGCGTGGTGCTGGCCACCCACTTCCTCTTGTACCTACCGCCCTTCATAGGTGCTCGCCCAACAGTCTGTTATGGCTGTGCGTTGGATCTTTTGTCTTTGTGTGTGCGCGTGGTTAGAGAGGCAGTGAGTAAGAAAACAACAAGGCACTGATTGAGCTTGGACTTGAACAGTGGGCGCGCGATTCGTCAGTGCAGAGGATCAGAAGGAGACCCAGATCCAAGGAGCAGCAGAGGAGAAGGAGCGACCTCCCAACAGTCTGTTAAAGATTTGAAGCTTTCGTGACTGCAAGGATTCATACTCTTAGGTTTTTTTCGGTAAAGTCACGTAGGTAAAAATTTTAAATTAATATTTTTATTTATTTAAAAATTTTACCTACGTGACTTTACCGAAAAAACCTAAGAGTATAGTCTGCTAAAGGCTACACGGGCGGAGATATTTGTCTTTTGTTGCGTGCCCGCGTGCTCCCCGGTCGTGAGACGAGAGCGAGGGGGGGTGGGTTCACTGCGATCTTGATTGTCTCGGTGAAAGTGGCGAAGACCAAATGGGGCTAGGACGTGGACCGGGGCCGGGACCGGGCAGGGGTCCCTGGGGATGGACCGAGGCGGGCGGACCGCGGCAGCCGCCTCCGTCACCCGCGAGCGGCTGGGCGAGATCACCGGATGACCCCGGCTGGACGCGGTCACCCCGACCTCTCAGCGCCCCGCAGGTTCGGGCGCTGCGTGCGGGGAGGATGAGCGGCGGAGAGGGACGCTCTCACGGGATGTGCCATTCGCAGCTGTTATCATCAGCAGCAGCAGCAGCAACAGCTTCATCATCATCATCATCGTCAGCAGCAGAATAATAATTTGCATGAGACGTAGCTTCATCGTTATAAGCAACAGCTGCAGAATCATCATCATAAACAACAACACAATCATCATCAGCAGCAGTTTAATCATCATCAGCAGTTTAATCATCATCAGCAGCAGCAGTATTCGAATGATGATTATGAAGCTACTGCTTCATGACGCTCCCGCTTCAAAATCATCATCATCAGGAGTTTCGTGATCATCAGCAAGACGCATTTTCATTGTTTCAACTGCGCGCGCGTGCTCAGCAAGCAGTAAGTCGTATCTCTCCGAACCTCGTCGTCGTCGCCACAGTTACCCACGAGGGGTGACTATTCCGGCACCACGACGCCGCGGTTTTTTTTGTTTATAAATCCTTTATATTAAGTTCGCTTGCTTGCTTGCTTAGGACCGTGCAAATCTTTCGGTCGTTTTTTAACCCACTTCCCGTGATCCAATCGAGCTGACATTTTGCACACAGACTCGTTGTGCGTGACAATGAATTTTCGTAAAAAAAAATTTCCTAAATTTTACACTGTTTAGGGAATTTTAAAAAATATTTATTTACCAATTGGTTAATGCTGGCACACAATCATCTGACCCATAGGTGGCAGCCATCTCAAGCCAGAGGACGAGAGGACTCTAGCCGCCACGCATATAAAGGATTTATAGTGAAAAACTTTGTTTTTACGGGTTAATTTTTTCGCATTGAACGCGACGCGTTTTCCGGAACGCTTCCCCACGACTCCCGCGTGAAGCGACGGCTCGCCGTCACGCGGTGCCCGTGTCGCCGTCGTCGTTCTCGAACCATCGACAGCTCCCTCCTCCTCGTGTCCACCCAGAGACGCGCCGCCTGCACGAGGCAGTGTCCCCGCGGGCCGAGCTCGCCCCCGGCCAGGAGGGTGACCGCCCTGGCCCCGTGGGGACCGGGCGGCCGGAGAGGACCCCTCTGCATGGCCGTCGCATCCGTCAAGGAGTCGCCGCCACTCCTGCTGAGAGGTCGGCGTTGGAGAGTTGGGGGGGGGGGGTCAGGGTTCGTGTCATCAATCGTTGGGGGGGGGGGGGCACGTGGGTTTGCAGTGGGCTCCGTGGACTCGCACCGGTCTGTCTCTCCTCTATCACTCTACCCTCCTCCTCCACGCTATCTCTAACCTCTCGTCTCACTCGACTCCCCTTCCACGCACTCTCCTGCCTTTCTCATCTTACTCTCCTCTACGCACTCTCCTACCTCTCCCCTCTCATCTCACTCTACTCCCCTCCACGCACTCTCCTACCTCTCCCCTCTCATCTCACTCTACTCCCCTCCATGCACTCTCCTACCTCTCCCCTCTCATCTCACTCTACTCCCCTCCACGCACTCTCCTGCCTCTCTCATCTCACCCTCCTCCACGCACTCTCCTACCTCTTCCCTCTAATCTCTACTCCCCTCCACTACGTACTCCCCCCCTACCTCTCCCCTTTAAAGGTTTTATTTGAAATGTGACATCACCCCAACTCAATGTTTTGATACTTTAACGTACTCAATGTTCATATTCGCACAGTGTTGTTTCATCGTGCCGACGACTCTCGAGTGTTGAATGAAAGGCACTTGCTGGTGCGGCAGCGATATTAACCCACGGCTCGCAAACCGCTCCTTCTCCCCGTGGATCTGCCCAGGCTACCTGCGGAGAACGGCCGAGCTGTGGGTGGAAGGGGTTAATTTCTACCTGGGCGTCGACCCTCGGCAAGGTGGAATGTGCTCACCTGTGCAGGTACAGGGGGGGACAGCGAGGCCCCAACAGCTTGCCCCCCGCGTAGCAGCCGTGGCCTCCGAAGGGCATCGTTCAACGGCGGTGGCGAGCGGATGTTAACTCCCTCGCCTGGTACGCAGGAGGTCCTGTTACGGTGTTCATTCTCGGGCCAGCTGTTCAAGTCTTGTAAACGCTTTATGCACGATTTATACATGTATATTATGGATTGTTTGTTTTACGAGAGCTAGTAGGATTGGCTGCATATTTTTCCCCCATCGAGTCAACTGCATTGTCATAGTCGACAAAGGCCAGGCAGAAGTTGTAACTGATAGTAATTAATTAGTTTCGTCCCGAATGTGATTGATGTTCAATGTACGGTCAATGATGGTAATGCACGCCGTAATTCAGCAACTCTGTGGGGGCAGCAGCGACGGTTGGTGGATCACGTGACCCTCCCGTGGCCGTCTAGGAGGTGCTGTACCATGTTTAGGCAGTCCAGTACAATGTGGACTCCCAACTGTTCCATCTGTATGAGATAAAACTATAAACTATTGATTCTAGATTTGAAGCTTTCGTGAATGCAAGGATTCATACTCTTTGATTTTTTCGGTAAAGTCACGTAGGTAAAAAAAAATGAAAACAACTTGTTGCGCCCGAAACGTCGTGATTTAATTTAGTTGTTTTCATTTTTTTTTACCTACGTGACTTTACCGAAAAAAACCTTAGAGTATAAACTGTTGATTTAAATGTTCCCAGGTAAGGCCCACTGAGCTATGTAGCTCTTTTTCAGAAGTGACCTGGCCACAAATGATAGCTCAACGAAGTGGCTTATCGCGTGAAAATATATAGCAAGCAAATCCTGTAAACGCGTGTTTCTAAATGTGGGGGGAAAAAAACCCAACACGGGGAGAGAAACACGCAAACTCCAAATATACATAAGGCGTCAGTGGCGAGATCGAATCCACGACATCCTGCATACCAGGCGAGGCAGTTAACATCTCCTAGCCACCGCGGCGAGGCAGAGCGTTGCCTCTTCGCATGTGCGTGGGCTTCATTCGAGTACGCCGGCTTTCTCCCACGTGCAAAGACACCCGTCAATGTGGCCGGTAACACCTTCAAATAATCTAGAGGATCGCAGAGCTCGGGCAATTGTTGGCGCCGGCTCATCGCCAGGCTGTTGCTGCTGCTGCTTTGCTGCTCGTGCGCGGTTGCTCCTCCCTCTGTCTCTCTCTATGGCTGCAGGGTTTTGGTAGTACATGTTGTTTATGCCATTTATTGTGAAAATTCCGTCACAGTTCCTATGATCACTGTTTCATTGCTTTCATGGCTTTATTTTGGTGATTTCGAAAAGTGTATTGGTTTAGCCATGTTTGTTTGTTGTAGTACAGAGTTAGACTGATGGCCTTAATCTAAGTTGTCTTGTGGTTGTTGTTGTTGTTTGACTTGCATCCCGCTGGGATTTTTGCACAGAGCGTTGGTGTACGGTGATTTTTTTTTCTGCAATATTTTGCTGTCTTTTCTTGGATTTTCTGTTTGCACTTAGTCACATATTCCCTTTAAGATGTTTTTTGTTCATGTTTTTTGTTTGTTGCGGTTGCACCCGATTCAAGAGCCGAATGGCTCACAGGGCTATACTTAATAAATGAACTTGAACTCTCATCGAGAGCGAGCGACTGCCTTGCGTCGGGCTACAAGATGAAATCACCACTGGAAGTTACAATTGCTGAGGAGGGCATCTGTTGCAAGCAAGGAGCGACACATTTAGCTCACGTGCCGGAAGTCCGATGAATTGTTGCATCGCGAGACCGCTCGGGGGAGGTGGTGGGTCCTCCATCCAGCAGTGGATAGAACCACGGCTGATGACGATTTCCGGCTGTGTCGCAGGTGCCCGGGCTGCGATGTCGTCTGTGCTCCTGCCGCAGTTGCCAGTACGATCCGCTCATGGACAACGGTCTCTGTCTTGTTTGCCGCCACCCGGTCCACATGCACACACCTGTCACGGACAGAGGTGATTCGCCGCACAATCGAGCGCTTCATGCATGAGTAGATGCAGCGGCTACAATTCATGAACTGCCCGAGTGAGATGGCAGGAGAGATGTGTACAGGAGAGAGAGAGAGATGTAGTGACATGAGAGAGATACAGACTAGAGATGGGAACGATCAAGTCAACCTTCGTGTCGTCTCATGCTCATTTGTATCTTAATTTAAACTGGTATTTGGTGTATCCATTTACCGTATATAGTTTCATTAATCCAGGGCCCCTTGAGTTTTTTTTTGGGGGGGGGGGGGGGCAAGCACTTTGACTTGAATTTTTTTTTTCGATTTAAAGCTTTCGTGACTGCAGGGATTCATCTTCTTGGTTCTTTCGGTAAAGTCACGTAGAAGGGAAGTAATAAAAGAATAAAAATAAAACATAATAAAATAATTCTCACGACGTTTCGGCCACAACGCAAGCAGCCGTCCTCAAGTGAAGACCAGGTTTGTCGGGGAGACAGCGTCTGAATGGAACAGCACCACGGTTGGAGCGTATATTGACTGGCTTTTGCACATGCCTAGTACCACCAATGCCCCCCCACCAAGCCCACATGTGAATTCTCAAGTGGCCTGCTGGGAAATAAGCAGCCATCAGTTGGGGATGTCGTTGATTCACTCATTGGTGGTGTTTTCTGGAGTGCGATGGGCCTGCGGAAGCGCTGATTTCAGTAGAAACGTTTCCTCGCACCCCCCCCCCCGTGTCTCCTCTATCTCCCTGTATCCCCCCCCCCCTCTTCTTCCCCCCGGCTCACTCCGGGCATTGCACAGCAGCCAAGGCTGGGCCGACTTCGCGCCAACCAACAGCAGCTCCTACTCCTCCTCCAACCCCCTGCCGCGGCAAGGTTTGGCATTCACCCTTCCCCAATGATTGCCATCTGAGACATTGGTAGAAATTTGGAAATTCCACATTCGTATGACGGAGGAGAGGACAACCACTGCTGACTCGCCCACAAAGCTTTACTCTTTTTAAATCCTTTATATTAAGTTCACTTGCTTGCTTGCTTGCGCGCTTACGACCGTGCAAATCTTTCGGTCGTTTTTTAACCCACTTCCCGTGATCCAATCGAGCTGACATTTTGCACACAGACTCGTTGTGCGTGACAATTTATTTTCGTGAAGATTTTTTTCCAAAATTTTCCACTTTTTAGGAAAAAAAAATTTTCACTAACACAATCATATATTTTTCCTAAACACAGAAAATTATTCAAGAAAACAACAAAAATGTCCAATATAAACAATCATACAAAAACTGAAAACCTTATAATCCTTATATACGACTTTCCTTATATTTAATTTAAAATACCAATGTGATAAAAATGAAACTCTTACTCAAGAAAAACAGAAATGAATAATAAAATAAAACCGATGCCACGCATATAAAGGATTTATAGTGAAAAACTTTGTTTTTACGGGTTAATTTTTTTTTATTTAAATCGACGCTGCAGGGAACGACGGGCTGAGTCAACCCCCACTCCCCCCAACCAGAAGTTGACCTCTTAACCTCACGACTGCTGAGATACCTGACCGGATGTCAGTAGTCCTGTTGCCCTCGTCACCTTGTTGAGCTGCGTGCTGCACATGGATTAACGCTGCCCAACTCAGGTTTAAAGGATTCGCGCATTCATGACCCCTGGGGCTTGGTTGATGTTGTTGTTGTTATTGTCTTCGTTCTTGTTGTTGTTGTTGGTGCTGGGCTGCTCCATCCTGGTCTGTGCCGCGTTGTTGCGCTCTCTCTCCCGTATTTTTCCCTTGGCCTGACCCCGTCATCTTCCCATATGTACGCTTGAACTTCCTTCGCACCGTACGTAGCCAACCGCGCTAATCTCTCCTCCAATGTCATTGTCACTTTTGCTGAAGTGTCTCGAGATGAGATTGGGATTTTAAATTTTTTTTAATTTCAAAACGCGATGAAAATTCACTGCGGCGGTTTTGTCGCGCACAAAGCGAGGCACGATCGCCGAGCAGTGAATTTGACGCCCGGTTTGGACTCGCTAGGAGCTCCGGTCTCACGGGAGGGGAGGCGTCGTCAGCTCCACGAGGAGGAAGGGGAAACTCCAAAAACGCGGAGCGGGAGCCCCGGTGCCTGCGGCCACCGGCATCTCGGACGTAAGTGGAAGGAAGCGGCGTCAGTGATGGTCCCACTGCTCCGGGTTCGGGGCAGGCGGTGAGCTTCCATCTCGGGTTTTGTCCTCGCAGGTGAATGCCTACTGCAGTACAAGACACCACCCTAATGTGTGTTTCATGCTGCCGTAACTTCATTTTAATTCTGCAAGAAGGTACTCTTCCCGAGCCCGACTGGGAATGTATTATTTATCATTGATTTATGTTTGTGAAATATTATTTAGACAATTGTATCACGTGACAATTGTTTTTGCCTCGATTTCTATTTTCTTTATTGGTGTCACGTGATCTCATTTTGTTTTGCTTTCACAATTCTGGTGGCCCAGGCCCTTTTTGCACTTGAGACTATCCCCGGTCTCTTGAGTTCTCACGCCGGTGAAACAAAACAAAGTCATCCCCTGCTGGATGAGGGCCTCCCCGCACTGCGTTAGTCGCGGGGGGGTTGCGTGACCATACTTCACCACGCTGGTAACAACAGTTGCTACCCCGAGCCGTCACCATCTCTCGCAGTCACGTGATGCGACAAGCCATATCCTCGCCAGTGTCTCTCCACTTTGACTGCCGTTCCATCGGTCGTCTCGACCACCGGCCGTCCAGTGTATTTCAATTGTAAACGGGTAAGGGACCCAGAGAGGGGGAACCTATTAAGTACGTAAATAAACAATCAAAATCTATATTTTTTTATTTTACCAGGTAAGGCCCACTTGAGCTGTATAGCTCTTTTTCAGAAGAGACCCTGCTACAAATAGCTTAGGGGAGTGGCTTATCGTGAGGAAATTTATAGCAGCCAAATACTCGAAATGCATGTTTCTAAATGTGGAGGGAAAAACCGGAGGACCTGCAGAAAAAAATCCACGCGACCACGGGGAGAACACGCAAACTCCAAATACACAGCAGGCGTCAGGGTCGGAGTCGAAGTCACGACCTCCTGCATACCAGGCGAGGTAGTTAACATCTCCTAGCCACCCTGATTATGAGAGAGGGAGAGAAACACGCAAACTCCAAATACACAGCAGGCGTCGTCAGGGTCGGGATCAAACCCACGACCTCCTGCAGACCAGGCGAGGTAGTTAACATCTCCTAGCCACCCTGATAATGATGAGAGAAGCACGCAAACTCCAAATACACAGCAGGTACCAGGGTCAAGATCGACCTCCTGCATACCAGGCGAGGTACTTAACATCTCCTAGCCACCGATGTGCCCCAATACTATACTGTACTTGCCGAGTCTAGCCACGTGGGCGAGTTCAAATCAGGTGCTCAATTTCCATTGGCGGTCTGCCACGTGGAAAGCCGATTCGCGTTGAGCACACGATCTTATTGGAGGGTGGTGAAACAACTCAAATCCCATTGGCCGAGAGGTTAATTTGAAAAAGCCCGGGAAAAGTGAAATGTACACGAGGGGTTGGTGGGAGGAGTGTGATGAGAAAGGGAGTGGGATCGGTGGAGAGACGGAGAAGGTTCCAGAAGTGTTGAGAGAAGAGGGGTAGCAGGAGCTGATGGGGGGAGTTCGGGGGCCTGAACGGAGCAATTCCCGGAAGTTGCTTCGTGCTCCGGGTGGTGCGTGATGAAGAGGAATAAAGAACGAGTCGCGAGACTTCGCCGCCTGGGACTTTTTAAATCCTTTATATTAAGTTCGCTTGCTTGCTTAGGACCGTGCAAATCTTTCGGTCGTTTTTTAACCAACTTCCCGTGATCCAATCGAGCTGACATTTTCCACACAGACTCGTTGTGCGTGACAATTAATGTTCGTGAAAATGTTTTTCCAAAATTTTACACTTTCTAGGACAAAAATATTATATTTAATTACCGATTGCTTAATGGTGCAATGCAATCATCTGACCCATAGGTGGCAGCCATCTCAAGCCAGAGGACGAGAGGACTCTAGCCGCCACGCATATAAAGGATTTATAGTGAAAAACTTTGTTTTTACTGGTTATACTTATTTACAAACGTAATTTATGTTTCTACTCCAGGAGACGAGGCCATTGGGTGCAGCTGAATTGGGAGACTCCGGTCGCAAGCGCGACGGCGACGACGGCGGTGGTTTTGGTGGCGGTGACCGTGTCTCCGATGCTCTTGCCGGCGCCGCTGGGACCTCGCTATCTGGCCAGGTCATTCCTTGACACCGATGACAGCACAACCGACTGAAGCCAGGTCGATAAACTATGAAAACAAAAACTATGTATATTTTATTTTACCAAGGAAGGCCCACGTGAACAATATAAATATTTTTCAGAAGCGACCTGGCCACAAATGATAGCTCAACGAAGTGGCTTGTCATCACGTGAAAATGTATTGCAGACAAATATTCTAAATGCACGTTCATTCTAAATGTGGAAGGAAGAACCAGAGGACCCGGAGAAAAACCCACACCACCACAGGGAGAGCATACAAACTCCAAATACACAGTAGGCGTCAGGGTCAGGATCGAACCCACGACCTCCTGTATACCAGTCGAGGTAGTTAACATTTTGCCACCTCAGATCGATAAGCCAGGGGCTTGATATAAAACAATCAGTAATTTTCTCTACGTTGTCGCCGTGGGTGTGGAACATGTTGCAGCAGGGCCGGCTACAGCTCACCACTACGGAGGAGCGTGAATGTGGGTGGGGAGGCCAAACGGACGTTTGGTGGTGTAGGCCCAACACCATCAGTCCCGCTCGCACCTGCGCTGGTATGCAGGGAGGAGGAAGGCGGGTTACTGAGATTGGAATTGGAGTGGCACACCGCAGAGGTCGGTGACCAAGGGGAAGACACAAAGGCATGCAGTGTGGTGGTGGTGAGATTGTAAAGATTGCCCTTGAAGGATATATTGCCAAAAGAAAGTGATGATTATTGTGAGACTACATTTCGTCCATCAGCTGGTTTCCATAGGAACCCAGGCTTTCTGGTCCGGTCTGCTCCCAGCCCGTCCCGGTCCCAGCCTAGCCTGGTCCTAGCCCATCCTGGTCCCAGCCCGGCCTGGTCCTAGCCCATCCTGGTCCCACCCCGTCTTGGTTCCAGCCAGGCCTGGTCCTAGCCCATCCTGGTCCCAGCCCGGCCTGGTCCTAGCCCATCCTGGTCCCACCCCGTCTTGGTTCCAGCCCGGCCTGGTCCTAGCCCTTCCTGGTTCCAGCTCGGCCCGGTCCCAGAACAAAGTCAGCACGGCTCCAAGTGGCCGTGGAAAGGTGCAGGAGCGATCACTGTCATTGGCAGATTGGTGACGGACGAGGCGGTGATGGCGGCGATGACGGTCCGGAGTCTGGGAGATCGCTGTCGGCACGGCGAACGCGGAGAGGCCATCGTCAGGGCGCGGCGGCAATGGCCGGTGACTCCTCGTCAGAGACGGATGCTGCAAGCATGGGCAGTGGGTGCAGGGAGACCTTTCCGGTAGTCTCCATGGTGAGAGGCCTTGCTCTCAGCGCTCCACACAAGCTGCACACCAGGAATGTGCAATTATAAAGCAATTTACTTGCTCCATCTTATAACCAGGAGTTGATTCAGCCACACACTCCTCCACTGAGATCCATTGATCGTGCCCCACCCAGCCGTAACCCTGCTGCAGGCTGCCACCCTGGGGTGACCACGTGGCTTTTGTCTGCACAGCACCCAGTCCCAGGCTGAAGACCACACCACCCGTTCAACAAGGCATTCTCTCTCTCCAGTTCTCAATCTGGTCTCCTTAGTCTCTCTCCTCGGTTACTTCGCACTTCTATATCGTCCTCTTTGACGTACGTTCTTCTTTCGTACCGTACGTAGCCAATCGTGCTAATCGGAGCACCACAATCCATTGTTTAAGGGCGCCCCATAAAGCTGAGTTGCTCTCGAAAATGAAGGGGTAGCTCACCGGCGCTGCTCACACCTACGGTGAACGGTTAGCGCACCGCACGCGCAGCGTGATGAACGTGAAGCACTCGCGTTCGGTGGAAACCCAAATCCACGACCCGGCGCCCGTGGGCTCATCTTGGTGTGTGTCGCGCATCTCTCCTATCAGACCGGCGGCGAGACGGGGAGGCAGGATGTGCGGCGTCCAGGACTCAGGTTGCCCCCGGTCACCGTCACGCGGCCCCCCCCAGTGAAGCCGCCCCCCATTGTGAGCGTGGCATCCAGGATGTGAGAACCGCACTTCCCTGCAGCTCCCCCACCTCTACAGTTGCTCGAGCGTCGCTCTCAATCAATCGATCGATGATTATTTTACGTGACGACATCGCCCTCCATAGAGTAAGCATCGGTGCACATTACAACGGAACGGGAATGGTACAGGGGGCATAGAGCAACAGGAATGAAAACAATAAACTCGTCATGCCCTCAATGGCTAACACCGACTGAGCAAAGTCATTTGCAACCGTGCACAAAATAAAGTGCAACAGTGCACTACAAATATCATTAGAAAGGTAAGTGGTAAATGTTTTCGATTTAAAGCTTTCGTGACTGCAGGGATTCATCTTCTTGGTTCTTTCGGTAAAGTCACGTAGAAAGGAAATAATAAAAATAAAACATAATAAAATAATTCTCACGACGTTTCGGCCACAACGCAAGCAGCCGTCCTCAGGTGAAGAATGACGCTGTCTTCCCGACAGACCTATTCTTCACCTGTGGACGGCTGCTTGCGTTGTGGCCGAAACGTCGTGAGAATTATTTTATTATGTTTTATTTTTATTGTTTCCCTTCTACGTGACTTTACCGAAAGAACCAAGAAGATGGTAAATGTTTTATTTTATGGGAAGGCGAGTCTGAACAGGTGTGTCTTGCACGGACCACGGAATTGAGAGACACTCGGCGCATTTCGGACGTCCGGTGGCAGGCAGGCAGGCAGCGGGGGGTGTTCCAGATTTTTTTTAGGGCTGCGCGTTCGTGAAGGCTCCGTGCGCCCACGTGTTGGGACTGACTCTGGAGCGTGGCCCGCGAGTGAGGCGCGCGTGTGTGCCTGTCGTTACAGACGGGGGCTCACGGAGCGGTACAACTTGAAGCAGAGCCGCGAGACCGCAAGCAAGGTGTGAGCGCCGCCACTGGCGGCTCGGGGCTCCAGGTCGAGGAGGCTACAAACTCCCCCTCGGGTTTTTTCCAGTCGCGCGCGATACTGCGTGCAGGTGGATTCAGCGATGACTGGGACATGAAGGCAACATGATGATGATTTTGATCCAGCTGTTGAAAAATTAACCCGTAAAAACTAAGTTTTTCACTATAAATCCTTTATATGCGTGGCATCGGTTTTATTTTTTTATTCATTCTGTTTTTCTTGAGTAAGAGTTTCATTTTTATAGTGTGTTGACACACATCCAGAATAATTTTCTGTGTTTAGGAAAAATATATGATTGTGTTAGTGAAATTTTTTTTTTATGCTAAAAAGTGGAAAATTTAGGAAAAAAATTTTCACGAAAATAAATTGTCACGCACAACGAGTCTGTGTGCAAAATGTCAGCTCGATTGGATCACGGGAAGTGGGTTAAAAAACGACGAAAGATTTGCACGGTCGTAAGCGCGCAAGCAAGCAAGTGAACTTAATGTAAAGGATTTAATAATGATGCTGAGTGCGCTGCTGCTCATGATGTTGATTGATGATTATTGATGATGACCTTAGTGGTGATTCCCTGGATTGTCTCTGTCGGGCGTTCAAGAGTTTACTGTCGCCCCACGTGGTTCATGTTGTTGTTCACCTCGGTCCGCTTGATCGTGTTTGTGTTCCGTCTCGGTGGAGATCTCCTCCCAATTGTTTCGTGAAAAATGTGGTACGCAATTTTTAGCGTTTTGAGGTACAATTTGCATGAATGAAGCGATAAATATTTGTATTACCATCGTTGCTATTATGATTACAATTCTGCTGCTGGTCAGATACGTGCTGGTCACCGGTTCACATGTCGCTCACCGCTGAGGTTTTATCCCTGGCCAGGAATTCGAACTTGGGGCGAATCGCTGTGCGTTTTTTGTCTGTTTTACCCGGCAGAGGAACGTGAGCCGAGAGAGAGCCGCGGAGGAAGCCGCCGTCTCCCTGGGGCAGAGAAGAGTCTCGGTTCAGTTCGGAGAGAGGGAGTTTGTCGGATACTTTCTCCCGCACGACACCCTGCAGGTCACGGCGCACGACGCGGCAACGGCGTGTCCTCGCGTCATTAGCCCCGTGCCTGGCCCTGCTTGGCCCTAAGCCAGATTCAGTGCGCCCTGTAAGGTCAGCGTATCACAGTTTGGTTCGAGGAAAGGAACAGGGCCCCAGGACTGCCACAGCTCGGATGTGGTGATGGAAAAAGGGGGCATTGGATCACCACCTGTGCAGTGTTTCCAAGGACCGTCCTCTTTTGTTTATCGCATACACGATACACAAGTGCGTGAGAGAAATGATTATTTACCCCTTATGCAAATCGTATGTAATAATGTTGAAGCCATTGGTTATCCTTGAAGCTTATCCTTGAAATAAATGAACACACCTTAGCATTCATTTTACAATGATGTGAACAACAACGTTTGTGTCGAGCTAGTGTGAAGATGCCCTTGCAGCGACGGAAGCGACGCAGTGAAACACAGCTTTGTCAGATAGAAAACATTCCCTCTCCAGTACCCGATTAGTGCCGATGAGATGCTCGCAGCGACGGATAAATATTGTAGTGCAGGCCGTTTCAAAGTGGGTGGGCATCATGATTCCGTGGGCCATATCCGGCCCATGCGGGCTGTGGTTTCCTCTACCCCTGGATTACAGGAATTAGATTACTCCCCCTGGACTACAGTGATCCAAATACTGCCCGATTCCTCCCGTCGCTGGTGGCGCAGGCCGTGTACGAGTGGCTGGAAGTGGCGGTGGTGGCGGCGGCGGTAGGCGGCACGGAGGAGCTGCCCCACCGCTTCTCGCTGGGGCACGCAGGGCGGCTCTTCCCGCTGAGGCCCGACACGCGCGACACGCCTTCTCACGCACGTGCCGCTCCGTCTCAGCGTGCACGTGGACACGGTGCCGACTACACACACGCACACTAGTACACACACACACAACAACAACAACAACCGCCATTCGCCACTAAGTGGTGGTGACGTCACCACGATGCTTGTGCCAGGCTATGTGCACCTTGAGGCCACGTGAAGTGTCGAACGCCCGCTGGCAGGAGGTCACGGGGCAGACTACACACGCACACACGTGCACACACATGTATACAGAGACATGCACACACGTACACATAGAAAAGACAAAGATCCCCCGTACACAGCCTGAACAGATTGGTGGGGCAAGTGCTGTTATAGAACACCTATGAAGGCACGCACGGCACACGAGGGGGTGGGTGGCCAACGCCAAGCCGATTTTTTCTTCTGAGTGGAGATGTTTACACATTTTGCAAGATATGTATTTGAGGCTGAGTTGACCTAGGGGATGCCCAGAACTGGTTCATATAAATGCCATGAGTGTTGGCCATGGGCGACAATTGAACTCGCGTCGCCGGTTCATAGGGTCATCGCTCCCCACATACACACACATAAATCTCCCTCCTGATGAATCGTTGGGGCAAATGGCAATGCCCTTTGGCTAACCAGCGAAGCCTCAACGATTCTCTACCATCGGGACGTGTTTAATCCCCTCGTGTTGGGTGCTCCGTTATAAATCCCTCAGGACGGGAGCGTCTCTCCGGGCCTCGGCAGGGAACCGCTCCTCCTGTCCCCACGTCAAGCACGCTTTGAGCTTCCTGTCGACCTCCGGGAACTGGAAGGTACGACCTCTCGACCTCTGAGCTCTAAAGCCTGGGTCACGGCAACACCGCGTCGTCTATACACGCGTCACAGCTCTTTCACGGCTTGGGTTCCGCAGTGGAAAAGCAAGCTGGCGCCCGCGCGAGCCGTGCTGGGCTGGCCAGGGACATGGGCCCGGCCGTGGCTCAGCCGTGCGGTGGAAAACCTGACCGTGTGCCGGTGCTTGCGGGTGGGGCGACCGACCGTGTCTCAGGGATGTCGGCGCGTGCCTACGCCCGCCGGCGCTGCCGCTGCGCCCCGGAGTGGACGGAGCTGTTCGTCGCATCGTTCCGGAGCGCGGATCGGGACGGGGACGGCTTCCTCACGCTCCCGGTGAACCCTTCTGAACTAGTGACCTCGCCGCAGTGGTGGGGGGCGGGTGGAGGGGGGGGGGGGTACGAACAAAATGGTGAAGGCAAACGTCCGTGGATTTTCACTTCTATAATTGTGGTGATGTTCGCTAAATCCAGCAATGATGATGAGGGCTCTATTCGTGGAGGAGTCACCGGCTCATCACCGTCGCCAGTTGAAAACACGGTCGGAATTTCCATCACCAAGAGATTAATGATGAGTTGCAGCAGATATCATAACGACACTGATTCCTATCACCATGGCGCCGATAAAGATGATGAAATGATGACTATAATCACGAAGACGATGACAACGGTAATGTTATACTACATGATAGTGAGAATGTCAAGGGCCATATTGGTGATGAAAATCATGATTATGGAGACATTTATCATTGCGATATTTCTGATGTTTATGGAGACAATGTCTTTGATGGTGATGATGACGACGATCACATTGATGTTGATGATCCTGGCTCGTGGTACAGGAGGCGGAGGAGGCTGCACGCCTCCTGTGCAGCCCCAGGTCTCCCTTCTCGCTCATCTCGTCTCGCTGCTGGGACTGCGCGATGAGGACCGAGGCGTCGATCTGCCGCTCTTCATCGCCATGTGCGTCATCCTGGGCCGCCGTGGCCGGTGAGGATGCCGTGACCTCAAACCATGACGCTAACCCTGAGCTTTTGACCTTTGCCCGTGACCATACCCCTAAACTCGTAACCTTGATCCCTGCACCAAATCCTCAAACCCTGACATGAATCCGGTGACCTGAAACCCTGACTCTAACCCTCAAACTATGACCCCCAACACTAAACCAAATCATATTTAATATTTTAACTGGATGTCTAACCACAATTACTAGACTAATACTAACTCTAACCCTATTGTCTAAACCGAATACTAAACCTAACCCCGAACACTAACCTTAAAGTCGGCCAGAGAAATACAAATTGAGATGAAATCGAAACACTATCTCTCATTTAGCACTACATCACCATTCCTCCACGCGACGTCAGCACACTCGCCAGACTTATCACGCCGCCCGGTAAAAATATATCGTTGGAAATAACCTGGCCTACGTTGACCCCTGACCCCAACTGCAACTTCGCGGTCCAGCGGCGGCGTCCGCTCTCAAAACCCGGAGCGGTCGCCACCCGGAGGCGACTGAACCCGGGCGGAGAGAATGCGGCTCGAGAGGAGCAGCTCGAGGATAAAGAGCGGCGGGCAGCTTCGGCAGGAGGGCAGCAGCAGGGAGGGCAGCAGCGGGGAAGACGGGGCCTGCCGCACGCAGGGCAGGGCTGCGACGGGGAGGAGGATCAGGAACGACTGTTGGAGAGCGCCGACTTTCACGGGCTCCAGAGGAAGCTGTCGGGGCTGCGTGTGCGCGAGGATCTGCGGCAACTGCTGCTCGGGCTGCAGGAGTCGGGGTCAGGGTGACCCGCGCGTTCACTCGCCTGTCGTTACCATAGTTACCATCGTTACCATAGTTACCATCGTTACGATCAGGCACATCGAGCGGGGAAGCCTTCGACCCTGGTTGACCGCCATATGCCAGTTTCTATCCGTTGCTGGATGAAAGTCTGCTTATGCCAATGCCACTGCCAGTTGTCTTGAGCTGCCCGCGATTTGTGTGCGCGTATTGCGGGTACAATGGAGTGAGCAAAAACAAAAGGTGGATCTCTGATTTTGTGGATATGTTGCGTCCTGGAGTCGTCCGATGCGAGTTGGAAGATTTGTCGACGGGCACAAAAATCCGACATGATGATAACATATTTTATTAGTTCATAAAACAAAACGTAAATCCAGTTAATTTAACTGACATTGCATCGCAGAATTAGGAAATGTGTAATAGGATTAACTACACACATACGAACAAAACCTTAGTGCAACTCTTTACAATTACAGTGCCTTCGCTGCACAGTCGTGGCAGGGCCCAAATACATTAAGGCGGTGTATTCTTAGGTTTTTTCGGTAAAGTCACGTAGGTAAAGAATTAAAATAAAAGTAAAATAAAAATGAAATAAAAAAAAACCTAATTCTTTACCTACGTGACTTTACCGAAAAAAACCTAAGAATATGAATCCTTGCAGTCACGAAAGCTTCAAATCTAGAATTAAGGCGGTCGGCGGGACGACAGCGGAGTGGCCGAGTGTGTGGGACCTTTAACCTCCCCGCCTTCACCACGTGGCTCCAAGCCGGCGAATGACTGCACTTGACAGCAGGTGGCGCCGTGGGATCAACTCGCAGACGGGAAAGTCGCGAGTTCAAAACTCCGTCGGCTCATCGTCATCGTCCCCTCTAGGGTTGTTGAAGTGAGTACCGCCTGGAGGGAAGAACTGAGTGACCTCCCGTCATAGAGTTTCCACAACTGTTCGCTCTCCAGGTCGGATCACGCCCTCTCAAAAAAACCACAAACTTGTAGTTTGAAAAAAAAAAATTGCATTGCTCTTTTTTTCATTTCGATCTTGAGATATAAACAGAATGATGGGGGGATAGCTCAATAAATCGACTGTAAAGGAATGATGGCGATGATGACCATGATTACTGCGCAGCTATCGGAATTGCATACCTGTCAACCCCTTATCAGCGCCAACCTTATTACAGACAAATTCAGACTTTATCGGTCACCGCGTGGCCTTATAAATCTCAACGTTCATTCTTCAAAGTGCCATCACAAGAGGGAGAAACACAAATCGACAAAATAATGTTTTTGTTGCCCGTATTGAAACGTCTGTACGCCGCCGTATGGACCTGAAAACTCAATTTCCCTGTACAAGAATACGGATAAATCGTGTGGGTTGACAGGTATGGAATTGCACTGTGATCGGACCCACAACAAAATATGCAGAACACTCGGCCATCCATGCGCTGCCAACCCTCGGCCTTGTGGTGGATGCCGGTTTGCGCCAGGACAAGGTTGATTCAATGTTGGGTGACGTAAAGTCAGGTCGCACGGACAGTATCAGGGGTAGGGCAGGAGCGCCAGCTGACTGCTGCCGGGGGAGCTGGAGCTGATAGGTAACTCACCAGTGGGGGAAGTTACCTGTCATGGCCGGCCCATCCCAGTGGGAAGTTACCCCCATTTATTTTCTTACATGCACTCCCTATTTACGTTCACTCTCCCGGACGTCTGTGAAAGAGAACTTAGTGGCTCATCGGATTCCTCCAGTCTAAACAAAGATTCTGATTCTGAACTCACTCCCTTGGTTTCGTGGCCAGCGGTGGCCTCCGAAACACCTCGCCACGACGTTGCTCCTCGGCCGCCCTCCTCTGCTCCTTCTGCTTCCTCTCGGCATCCGCTCCGTAGTGAACCGAGGTCAGGTCGGGTCAGGGTCGGATGAAATGGGCTCCCGGTGCTCACTGCTCGGGCGGGTAGAGGCGCACGAGGTGCTGCGCCCTGGTCGGGTAGCCCGTGACGGGGCAGCGGCCGTGCTCGCGCACGTAGCCGTACGCGCACGGGTAGCACAGCACCACACCTGACGTCGCCAGCGCCGTGTCGTTGGTGCGGCGCCGTCGGCAAAGGGGGCACACGCCGGGTGGCACGGCCGGCCCATCCCCCAGCTCCGCATCTGCCGGGGGTTGCGGCGGCAGAGACGGCGAGCGGGTTAGAAGCGTCAAAGTGCCGTTGATGGCGGAAGGGCCTTGACCAGACGGAGCTCTGGAAACCCTCTCAACGAGGTATTTGGTCTACTCTTCCGCGCTGTCCCAGGCATGTTAGAAGAGGTGGGAGTACCCACGCTTTACCCCACCATACTCAACATGACAATTGACTAACTGTGGTGTACCCATTTATACTGCCGGATGGAAAGATAGGCGGGGGGATTCAAGAAAGTTGTTTCAATTGCCGTACCAGGAGATGGAACTGGTGACCCAGTGTGATGACCATCGTCGTGTGCGCATGTTTAAATGGGTAATTAGCGATGTACCACCAACCCTTCCCAATAAATATATATAATACCTTCTCAGAGCTGGAATTCAAACAATTTAACGGCTGGAACCATCATCGCTCTACACCGGAGCACCCAGTTTAATCACAGTTTTACGCCTTTGAACCCCGACACAAACCCAAGATCCTCGGCGGTCCTGGCTCAAGCGTCTCTCTAACCTCCCTGCGCCACGTGGCTCGCTTGTCAAATTTATTTTTTTAACAAAACGCGATGAAGGGAGGCACAGACGCTGCCCGCGTGCGCGCGACGACACACACCTGCGTGCAGGTGAATGGGCGGCGGTGGCGTCGGCAGGTCGGGCAGCAGCAGCGACGACGCACCACCGCCGCCGCCACCACCGCCGCCGCCGCCTAGGAGACTCGACCCCACGTCGCGGAGCGCGTAGAAACTCTCGAGGAACTGCAGGAAGAAGACGGCGACGGAGAATGCGGCCGAGATGTTGACGGCGGCGTGCGACGCCAGCGACCCCAGCGCCCCGAGCACACCGCTGTAGTGACAAGGACAGAGATCCCCCGTGCCGCTTACGTGGGTACATTGCTTCACCGACGGTCCAGCACTCACCGATTGCTTTCGTATGAACACACCCGTGCGATCAGTTGCACGCAACTTGGTTGTTGCATCCAACACGGTTGTTGCACGCAACTTCGTTGTTGCATGTGACTGAACGGCTTGTGTGTGGACGCCTCTCTAAGCAGGCAGTGAAGTTGCGCGATTTGGTCGCGCAACTGATCGCCCTGATGTGGACCCCGCCGTCAACACCTCGCCATGGTGGCAAGATGTTAACTGTCCTCGCCTGTTATACAGGAGGTCGTCGGTTTGATCCCAATTCTGACGCCTGTATATTTGGAGTTTGCATGTTCTCCCCGTGGTCACGTGGATTTTTCTGCAGGTCCTCCGGTTTTTCCCTCACGATTAGAAACATGCGTTTAGAATATTTGGCTGCTATAAAGTTCCACATGATAAGCCACTTCGTTGAGCTATCATTTGGGGCCAGGTCACTTCTGAAAAAGAGCTACATAGCTCAGTGGGCCTGACCTAGTGAAAGTAAAAGCTTAGCTTTAGTTTAGTTTCCAAAGGAACTTTTAGTGGTGAACACAATTGTCCACTGTTTAGTTTTAGTTTTCAGCAATTTAGTTTTAAGTAGTTAGCGTTGGGTGCACCGCACTCCTTCCCCTCCTCCTCCTCCTCCGACGCCGCCCGCCGGTCTGTGCTACTGGACCCGTGATGTCGCGGCAGCGCCAGCGGTCCGTCCTCGTGGCCGGCGCCGTCGAGGGGTGAGCGGCAGACGAGACGCACGCCCGCGAAGCGAAGCAGCGGCGAGTGGTGGCGGCCGCGCCCCAGCGCGTAGCTCAGCTGGTGCCAGAGGCACACGCCCTCCCAGGTCATGTGCACAAACGGGAAGGCGGCCAGGAAGGCGCGGTACAGCCTGGGGGGGGGTGAGGGGCACAGAAAAACAACACGGGCGAAGATCCCCCGTGAAGCCTTAACGGAGCGTTGGGGCGAGTGCTATTTAGCGGGCACTTATGAAAAGCGGGCACGGCACACGACGAGGTTGTGGTGTGGTTCACATCACAAATGCGCAGCCGTGTCTCCTCAGTGCTCATGTTTACACACACTGCACCAGGTATTCCTTTAAGAGTTTAAGGTCAACCAAGCGAAGGCCAAGGACCGGTTCTGATGTTAGCCGTGACCGGGAATCGAAAACAGGTTGCCGAGTTTATAGCACATTTCAGCGTCTAACATGCGTGGACGACTCAATGACCTACGATTCATGGAATTAAGCTGTTACATATGCGCTAATGGGATGAACAACACTGCACAAACAATTAATATACAATGTCAAACAATACAAAAGGCAAAGGTACAGTCCTGAAATTCCTGCTCACGCCGCTGCTGGCCCATGGGCTTCTACTAGACTGAGCTTCAGAGCCCCCTTTCGAGGGTATTTTGGCCTACTCTTCCGTGCTGACCAGACATTTTGGAAGAGGTGGCAGTGCCCACACTTTACCCCTCATCCTCCCACCCCCCACACACGACCTGCCAATTCACTGCTGTACTGCTGGGCGGACAGAGGCAAGTAGAGGGTGGGATTTAATAAACTCGTCCATTGTTTTCAACCGCCACGCCGGGAGAAATCGGAATTGGCAACTTAATACTGTCAAAAAAGAAAATGTTTACTCCCAACTGACTTGACGCTGCGCGAGTCCGGCAGGTGAATGCCGCAGTCCATCTCCTCTCGGATCCTCGCCACCAGCCGCTCCACCTTCAGCCGCAGGTACGGCGCTGCCACCAGCAGCGCCAGCGACAGGAAGAACTCGCGGCGCGGCAGGCGCGAGCCGGCCGGCGCCCCCGGGCGCTCGGGGACTCGCTTGAGGTCGTAGAAGTTCTCCGAGAAGGAGGCGGAGTTGCGCAGCAGGCTGTGGCGCTGCAGCAGGAAGTCCAGCAGCAGATAGAGCTCGTCGAAGCGGCGCCACGCTTGACCGAAGAGCGCCGGGCGGGACTCGGCCAGCACCTGCACGCGCTCGTGGTTGGTGTGTGTATAGATGGTTGGTTCATGAGTCGATGTCAAGACACTGCTAGCGAATGGCGATGTGGTATTATAGGGGCTCAGTGGCAATGTCGAGGTCTGCTGGCCATAATGAGAGGGCTTCAGGAGAGAGAGTTCGTGTGGTGTTGCTATTCCTCCGTTAAAGCAGCAAGGACTACAGCGGTTTACAATACGGTTCACAGTTTGGGTGGCATGGCCACAATCGCACTCTTGTGGCTTGTGACTTTTAGTTCCCGTCATGAGATGTGCGCATCGGCCTGGTTTTGATGATATGATGCGGTAGATGGTTACACCGGCGCCTTCGAGGAGGAGGAACGTCAAAGCCATGAGGAGGTGCGATGACGTTTGTGTTTCGAATTCGGTGTTGTAATCTGGACGTCCGCATTGTTCTGCTCTGTGAGAATCTAGGGTGCGATCAGGATTGCAAACATTTCCATGAACACTGAGAACTGGAGGTGCCGGTGGCCGGTTCACCGGTTACCATCTAATAATCCCAGTGTGGGGTACAGGCAGGTGTATGGATGTCCACGCTGCTCAGGTGTATTGCAGTGTTGTATTGGGATGGTCATAAATAATGACGGGAGTGGAAGTCTTAGGGATGGACCTCGGCCGCTAAGTCACCTACCGAGGAGATGGAGCGGTGAAATGAGCTCGTGTGCAGGTGCCAAGGTGAATTGTTGCTGCAAATGAATCGTGAGCAATGGCGACGGCTTTGGGGTGGAGACCTTTGTCTAGCAGTGGCCAGAGCCGTCCATGGGGGTGGGGGGGGTGTGGGGAAAATAACACTGCGTGGACCCCCCCCCCCCCGATGCCTTCAACCCAGAGGTCGCAACCGGGTACCCGATACCCGTAGCCTACCTGATACCCGGCTACCCGTACCCGGCCCGTTTGCGACCCTGGTGCGGCCGGGTACGGGTACGGGTAGGCCGTGAGTCACTGGTGAGTAACTGTTTGTCACTCATTTCCCATCGTCTTGTCTCGTCTCACAATTCAAGTTCCTAGAATCAACCCACCCGCGCCTGCAACATGGCTTCATTCCAGAGGTCGCAATCGGGTACCCGATACCCGTACCCTACCCGTACCCGGCTGGGTACGGGTACCCGTTTGCCACCCTGGTGCGGCCGGGTACGGGTAAGGAATCAAAACCCGTTTGCGACCTCTGCTTCAACCTAAACCGAAAGTATTCCATCTGACGCCGTGACGTCGACGCGCGGGGCCCGGAGCAATCTCCCCTATTCGCCGTACCCTTGGGACGGCTCTGATCGTGGCTGCCGATCATGATGATACTTCAGGGCGAGTCTGACCTTGCACGCGTGCCCCAGCGCGGGCCTCACTGCCGACACGAGCCCGTCCTGGGCGAGGGCCTCGAACACGGAGGGGGCCCCGTCCAGGGCCGTGGCGGCCGAGGCGAGATGCGCGCCATGCTCAGCCATGAGGCCCTGGGTGGAGGCTGCGGGGAGAGGAGGGGTCGCAGTGTGTGTGTGTCATAGCTGTCAACCCCTTATCAGTGCCTTACCTTATTACAGACCAATTCAAAACTTATTGGTCACCCCGTGCCCATTATAAATGTCAACGTTCATTCTACAAAGTCTCATCACAAGGAAGAAACAAACAAAAAGACAAACAGTTTTTGCCCGTATTGAAACGGCTGCACACCGTATGGACCTGAAAACTCAATTTCCCTGCACAAGAATACGGGGTAAACCGTACGGGTTGATAGGTATGGTGTATGGTGTTTGGAGAACAGGCGGTGCATCTGCCAGTCGTCTCAGTCTATGAAGCCACGGCACCTTGCGCCTGTCCAGTGAAACTTCTCGCAGCGAGCCTTCGACACTTCACGTGATGGCCTCCAAGTGCACCTAGCCTGGCACAAGCGCTTAGTGGCGAGTGGTGCCTGCTGTTATGGATTAATTTGGACACACGCACACAGGAAACTGTTGGCCTCGGGCTGAGTGAACAGAGTGCCGAATGGACAGATGGTTGCACGGTCGTCTGGAACTCAGTAGACTGTAGTAAATATATATTTTTATATTTTACAACAAATGCTGACTCTAAATGTGGAGAGGAAACCCCGAAGGACATGGAAAAAAATCCACGCGTTCACGGGGAGAGAGATTAACACGCAAACTTCAAGTATACAGCAGCAGGCGTCAGGGTCGAGATGGAACCCACGACCTCCCGCACACCAGGCGAGGTAGTTAACATCTCGCCACCGTGTGGCACCCAAGTGCAGGATGACCTGAGGTTAAGTTGACTGATGGGGGCGGAGGGGCTCAGTGGACCGATTCTGGAAGGACCAGCGGCTGGGGCGCTTTGTGTCGAGGTCGGCAGCTTTGTGACCAAGTGAAAGGTCGGCTCGGAACTGGATGGAGAGATGCGGTGCAGGAGAGAGCTGCAGCAAGTGAACTGTGGTGGTACGGGAGAGACTTGCAACTGACGGGGGGAATTGAATGGTACAGGAAGGACGTGCAGCTGAGTGGACTCGCTTTCAACCACCCCGCCTGAGCTTTAGCTGCACATAGCCTAGGCAAAAAGGACCCTCGTCTGCGAACGGAGGCCTCTGCGTTCACTCTTAAAACTCTCCCGTCAACGCGAGGCCTGTTACATGCGCGCACGCACACACGCACACAGAGTAATACCGCCTGTGCACGCGGTCGAGAATTCCGCGCAATGCCACCGGAACCCTCGCGCTCACCTCCGGGCGCCTCTCGTCAACCCGGGGACGACTCAATCGTGTTGTTGGTGGTGGTGTTGTTGTTGGTGTTGTTGGTGTTGTTCCGCGCGGCTCGGCTTTCCTTCCGCGGTGGTGGTGGCGGCTCTCGCTGCGACTTTGATGAAAGGCGCGCGCGCGTGTCCGTGCGCGTGCGCGTGTCCGTGCGCGAGGCCGGCACCCGCGCTCCGATTGGCCGGAGCGCGCGCGCCCGCGATGATGCCGACTGGGAAATGCGATGAGGGGGCGGGGCGGCGCGCGCCTCTTCCCCCCCCACCACCAAGCGGGTTAAAGGGGACGCGCGCACTCTTTCCTTCGTGCTACCCGGGTAGCCGGGTGGGGGGGGAGGGGGTTCAGCCAATGGGAGGGGGAGGGCAACCAAGGGAGGAGGGGGGGCAGCCAAGGGGGGGGGGGGGGCAGCCAGGGGGGGGAGGCAGGCAAGGGGGGGGGGGCAGCCAGGGGAGAGGGGGCAGCCCGGGGGGGGGGGCAGTCTCCTTTTCGTCTGCTGCTGCTTTCCTCCGGCCTTCCTACTGCCGATGCAGAGGTAACGACTACAATTCCCCATTCGATAACCGCGTCAGGAGTGAGCGGAGCGTGTCGCCGTGATGTGTCTCCTTCCATTTTTGTGGATCCGGCACGCACACTACTGGATAGTTCCTAAGTTTCCATAATACTGGTAGGAACCACCTGGTTCCACCAGCCCGTCCGTCGTGCATCCAAAAATGGGAGGGGTGGGGCTGGGTGGAGAGGGGAGGGTGGGGAGGGGCTGGGAAGGGGCTGGGGTGGGGCTGGGTGGGGAGGGGTGGGGCTGGGAGGGGTGGGGCTGGTCACCCCGTGGTGCCCTTATAAAACTCAACGTTTAACCTACTCACGCCGGCTTGTGCCCGCCCTCACAGTCGGCCATATTTGCGGAATACACCACGTCGCCGTTGACCCTGCAGGCCATTGACCGAGCAACCCAACGTTCCTACCAGCTCCCTCCGCAGGAATGTGAGGTGGACCATGAGCTTCGTGGGAGATCAAACCGAAGGCACTTGTGTTGGGCATTTCACAAGGGGGCAGTGCAGCCACATGAGAAGAAGGCGGTACAGCACAAATGTGGACTCCCAATTGTGCCATCTGTATGGGATAGACCGATAGAGAGTTGCCTCCTCGTGCGCTGCAGGGGGTTATCTCCGGGACTTGGATTCACCACACCCGGTCGCCTTTGTCTCCTCAGTGGCGATGTTCACACCACAACAGTTACTCGTTTGAGGCTGAGTCGACCTAGGGGAGGCCCAGGACCGGTTAAAATAATCGTCACTGGTGTTGGCCGTGAGCGGGAATCGAACTCGGGTCGCCGGGTTCGTAGCGCAGCGCGCTAACCACTACACTACAATGCGTTACGCTTCCACGTGTGCGGGTCACATGATAGATGTGACGTCACAGCTCACTTGCCGTGCAAAAAATAGAAAAATAGATGCATTATTGAGCTCCCCCCCCCCCCCCCCCCCCCAAAAATGTTTATTTTTTAGAATGTTTGCATGGTGTACAGTCTGGAAAGAGTACCCACATGGCAAATTTCCAGTTTGTTACATGTCGGGAAGTACGCTAAACATTTGTAACAGACACACATAATCACAACTTTGCCTTTTACATATATATGGAGATAACCCTGTGAACCATGTGGCTCTTGACTCGGGTGCAACCGTAACAAACAAAAACATGAACACAGAACATCTTAAAGTGACTACGCGCAACAGATAAATCCAGGAAAAAACTGCAAAGTCTTCCAGAATAAGCACCGTATATCAACGTTGTGTGCAAAAATCCCAGTGGGATGCAAGTCAAACAATAACAACCATAAGACAATTTAGATTAAAGTTATCAGTCTAACTTTGTACTACAACAAACAAACATGGCTAAACCAAAACGTTTTCGAAATTACCAAAATAAAGCTATAAAACAATGTAACAGTGATGATAGGAACTGTGATTAAAATGTAACAATAAACGATATACATCACACGTACACAGTGCATACATATAGAGGACCGCAGAGCTTGGAGAGGGAGGTGGCGGTATTTGGCATCGGCTCATCGCCTGGCTGCAAGCCTTCCCCACTCGCCTGTGCCTTCTTCCTCGCGCTTTCCATTCGTTCTCTCTCTCGTGTGTGAGAGTGAGCGAATGCGGTGTGCGTTACAATTGCTCTCTTTATTATTACTGTACACACTTTTATTTAACTCACTCTGTCTGTTGTTGTCGTATCCTCAAATCTTGTAACTCAATTTTAACCCACTTCCCAATGTGGTATCGACTGAAAACTTCGTATATTTATGTCTTACTGGTGCCAATACTATATTCCAGAGGTGGGACAAAGTCATTGTTATGCAAGTCCAAGTCGAGTCTGAAGTCATCAAATTCATGACTCGAGTCTGACTCGAGTCCAAGTCACATGACTCGAGTCCACACCTCAGAGGTGGGACAAAGTCATTGTTATGCAAGTCCAAGTCGAGTCTGAAGTCATCAAATTCATGACTCGAGTCTGACTCGAGTCCAAGTCACATGACTCGAGTCCACACCTCTGCTATATTCTATCATAAAATAAACATATTTTTAAACAATATTTTTACACGCTTTCTATTAACCCACTCTGTTGTTGTTGTCGTATCCTCAAATATTGTAACTAAATTTTAACCCACTTCCCAATGTGCCATCGACTGCAAACTTGGTATATTCATGCCATACTGATGACAATGCTATATTCTATCATAAAAAATAAAAAAATAAAACCATATTTTTTTATATGTTATGTTTCGTCTTGGGTCTAATTGTCCACGCTCAACTAACGTTGGCTGTAAATCACCACGGTCCCTTACGTTATGGCAAGCTTCGGGGCCACTTCCTGGAGTCGTGGAGTTTTGCCATTACCAGTACGGTACATTTCATTAAAGTGTGTTTTTTTTAAAAAGTATTTTTAAATATTACTTATCATTACAACCACCCTCCCGCGCCTGCCTGTCGTTACTTCACAATCACAGCAGTCGCATCAATCGATTGATTCATGGATGAATATTTAAGGTAGAAACCGGAATTGACAACTCTGGCTGTCCGCCTGATGATGCTAGTTGTAATTACTAGCGAAAGGTCACGGTATTCGAATTGTAAATGTTGTGGGTTTAATCTCCAACACACTGGTGTGCTGTACTAGCAAATAATTGACATGTTTTGTTAAAAAACAAACCTTACTAAATGGCCGTGTCGAACAGTAACCCCTGGAAACTAACTCCACATACGAACAGTAACTTCCTGGAACCTCACTTGACTTATGAAGAGTAACCCCCTGGAACCCAACTCGACTTACGAACACTAACCCCCTGGATCCGAACTCGACTTAAGAACATTAACTCCCTGTAACCTAACTCAACTTACGAATGGCAACACCCCTCGAAGCTAACTCGACTTACGAACATTAACCCCCTCTAACCTAACTCGACTTACGAACGGTAACACCCCTCGAAGTTAACTCGACTTACGAACGGCAACCCCTTGGAACCGAACTCGATCGTAAGTAGAGGAGACTCGATTTTTAAGATAAAAATTTTAAAATAAAAATCTTTAAAATACATTTTTTAAAAATAAAAATCTTTAAAATAATTTTTTTAAAAATTAACCCGTAAAAACTAAGTTTTTCACTATAAATCCTTTATATGCGTCGCATCGGTTTTATTTTATTATTCATTTCTGTTTTTCTTGAGTAAGAGTTTCATTTTTATCACATTGGTATTTTAAATGAAATATGAAAAAAAATATTTCCTAAAAAGTGGAAATTTTTTGAATTATTTTTTCACGAAAATAAATTGTCACGCACAACGAGTCTGTGTGCAAAATGTCAGCTCGATTGGATCACGGGAAGTGGGTTAAAAAACGACCGAAAGATTTGCACGGTTGTAAGCGCGCAAGCAAGCAAGTGAACTTAATATAAAGGATTTAAAAATAAAAATCGACGAAGCGCCCCCACCCCCTCCCGGCTCCGGTCCCCTTTAAATAAATAAATATATAAAAGGGACGCACGTCACGTCCGGTCGGCTCGACATCCCGGCAGCCATCTTCGTTTGGGGCGTTGATTCATCCCCGGCCACTTGCGAGGTCCCCCGTCACTCACCGCTCTTCGTCGTCTTCTTCTCAGACCAGCGGCGGGTATCTTAACCTCCTCCCCACCCCGACCAACCCCGCTCCCTCGCTTTGCATCGGTCTCCTGTTGCTTTGATTTTGCGTCATTTCTTTTTGAGGTGTCTGAACGGGGCTTGACCGTGAAGCGTAAGGTGTTCGGGTGACCGGTGCCGTTGTTGGTCGCGGCCGCTGCCCGGCCCCGCACGCCTATTCCCGTAGGGCGTCCAGGCGAGGCCGAGGCTTTTGAACGAAACGCTAGGCCCCTGCTGCCAAGTCTCGTATTTTTTGAGCTGAGCGTGTATTTTGAATGGCGAGCGCGCGTCTCACGAGAGTAATTGTCGCCGATGACACATCTTCGTCGTGCAAGGGTTGCCGACGTGTTGTCATGTTGTGTTGAATGATTAAAATAGTGTTCGGTTTGTTGCGGTCTGTCACGTCAGCTGTCAAGTCTCCTTAGCAAATGCTGCGTCGCGTCTTTCTAAATATTGTCCACTTTGTATGTTAGCTCCGTCTTTGGTGCAGAAACTGAGTCCGATATAATTGAGTTGTGTCATTTGTAAAGAATTGCAAACGCAATTTGAGTTGACATTGCACATGTAATTGCAATTATACGGCCAGGTGGCTCTGTATAAACTCGTACCAATTTTTTCTTCTTGGTTCTTTCGGTAAAGTCACGTAGAATGGAAATAATAAAATAATAAAAATAAAACAATAAAATAATTATCACGACGTTTCGGCCACAACGCAAGCAGCCGTCCTCAGGTGGAGAACAGATCTGTCGAGAAGACAGAGTAGACAGAAGACAGACAGAAGACAGAGTACCAATTTGTGGAGAAGTCGGCTGTGGATGTCCCATGAAAGACTCGGCCCTGCCATAGGAATGCGGAATTGTCCATTACTGGCTGTAAACGGAAGATGAATATCGCCTCAATTCCCATACTGAGTAGAACATTGGTTCGATTACACACTTGTTTTAATTGATCCCATGTCTGCTAGAATGTAACTCCCAATTTGTAATTTACATTTGTAGAGAAGCTGAGGTGGGGAACCTATACACATAGATTGCCGTGTGTAGCAATTGTACACGGTTATACATTACACCAGGGACTTACCTCTGTGGACCTTTTATAACCCGATTTTAACTCGTGGTGGTAATTATTCCAAGAGGAGTCTGCTCCATTCGTAGAGCGATTTTAGCCCGTGATCAATTCGGTCCGGAATGCGAGCCATCTTTGTCAAATTTCGAATTCGAAAGCAGGCTTTCAGCCTGGAATGGGTGACCACCATGCACATCATAGCCCGCTGCAAGGCTATGTCGTGGGCAGCTTGATGTTTCCCGTCTTCTCAAACGCACAATGGCCAGCGTGGTGAAGTATTATCACGTAATAATACTCGCGAATCGCACAGCGTTGTTAAGCCCTCATCCAGCATCGGATTTACAAAGTTTTGTACAGTACGAGTAAGTTTTTGGTTGTGGTTTAGGACATCTGAAACATTCATAAAGCAGCCAGCTGGTGGGAGAAGGAAACCCCATCATATTTTCCATGAGCCGCTGTCTTGTCAACTGGTGGATGATGTCTTCCCCATGCCGATGCCATCCCACTCTGTTATGCTATGCCATGTTACATCTCCTGCACGTGAGCATTTCCACACTGGTTATTCTCTCGGGCATTTACTCTGCTTTGGCTGCCATTCCATCCCGAGTCTTGTCCATTGCTTTCAGCAATGGGGGCAGCTCAAGCCCACTTATCTCAACATTTATTAAGATCTCAATTTTTTTTATTTCTTCCGTGATCAGTGTTTCTATTTCTACATCTCATTATAGCAATTCTGAGCACAGTTTTCCATGCTATATTTTCAATGTTTGTTCTGTTGTGTTGGTCATTGTTCATGTTTCTGCCCATATGTCATAGATGCCAATATGCATTGAATGAAAACTGTCATCTTCAGCCACATTGGTGCTTTTCATTATCCGACTAATTATATCATAGTAAGGCTTCTTTTCCAATAACAATCTGCGTTTTGGCATAGCATTGCTCTTTTGACAAAACGTACCTGTATGGAATGTCACCGGTATCTACATTGACTGCCGTTGATTTTATAAATTGGTTGCTAACGTTCCTGCCAGAAAACATTGAGAGGGTGGGTGTTTTCTAAACATATTTTCGAAGTTTAACTGCAGGGCAGACATTCATTGAAGTATTTTATTTAAAACTGGCTGAGATCCCATTAAGACAACAGGTCTCCTTTAGAAGAGACACATGGGTGGATCAGGGCCTCCTCGTGCCATGTGGGTTTTGGGGGTTATTTGACCATACTTCACCACACTGGTCAGTGCGTATTTGTGAAGGCAGGGGTATTAGATGTTAGGGAGTAGTATGGTAACGAGAATTTTCTTTTTCTTTACTGCCCCTTGCTGTAAATCTAGCCCCACAACAGCCAACGATACCAGTTTTATCTTGGTGATTGCCAATCAAAGTACTATCCAGGTTCAACATTGCTTAGCTTTCTGCGTCTCTCGATTGGGTATTTATCCAGGTTATTTTAGTCAGTGGTATTGGTAAAATATCAAAAATAGATCTTAAATTGCGTTAAGCAGGATTTTCAGACGGACAAAAAACTCACGAGTACATGTATGTATCATGCAATTATAAATACAAAATAGTAATTGAGAGTTGCTTACTATCGGTGATTTTTGTTTTGCCAGAAAAGGATTGTCATCATCTATGTGTGTCTCTCCTTATCAGTCTTCGTGCAGATTTAAAAATGACAGACTCCAAGTACTTCACGACCACCAAAAAAGGTATGTGGGTGATAAGTGTCTTTTTCCTACTGCGTATTACTTACCGTTGTTTTTTGTGTAAGGAAATGCAGAGTATTGCACAAAGAGATTGATGTAAGCAGTGCACTAATGAACACTATATATGACCTCAAATTAAGTCGATGTACAGGAATTTATTTGGCAACATGATAATTAAATTACCGCTTTGTTTACCAACCTATGGGATGTCTGGTGCATTGTTTTCGAGCAGCATTTGTTTGCGCAGGCAAACGCCAGAGTGATTTCGGCTCTCTGAATCTGATCAGCAGAATGTGGCTTTCTAAACACCGTTAGCAAGCTTGGTGTTATAGGCAAGAACATTCCGTGAGCATTGGAAGGTTTATTCAGTGTAGTACAGCAACGGTGTACAAAGTGTGTTGTGCATGGAGAGGCCTGGATCAGGGCCAACCTGGTGCTCTGGAGAGCGGTGAGGTATGACTGGCTGTTATCTGAAGCAGTGACTAATGTTTTAGCAGTTATTTCAATCACGGCCTGCTTATCAGTTACATGAATCTGATCCAAGTTATCATTTGTGAATTTTGTGACTTCCTTTTTCAATTCATATAATCCTGGTCATGGGCACAGCATCACACCTTTGACAAATTATTTGTGACTTTGGAATGTCACAAACTTTGACAAATTATTTGTGTCTGTGGAATGTCACAAAGTGCCACTTCTGTGTGTCCTAAGTGCTCGATTTAAGCCACTACATTTTTACTATTTATGCCCATGGTCCTGGTGCCTCTTGTTTCTCACGAACATTATTTTCATCACTGGACGACGGCAAAACTCGCACCAGTTTTTTCGACCCATCTCAAAGGATATCGTCTGTCAAGCCACTGGATGTTGTGATGGCTGGATGGCGCCCACCAGTTCTTGAGGCGTGTTCCTTTTTTGCCGCGTGACCCAAAACAACAGGAAGGTGGCCACATGATGGGGTCATGATTATTGCAAAGCATGTGTGCACTCAAGAGTGCTTTTAGAAATTATACAGCACATTAGCGCTGCTCTTGTACTGCCGAATGTGCATAATTTAACAAGCATTTTGGTAAAAAATAAATTTGAATGCAAGTACTCTTATGTTTTCTTCTTGGTTCTTTCGGTAAAGTCACGTAGAAGGGAAGTAATAAAATAATAAAAATAAAACATAATAAAATAAAATAATTCTCACGACGTTTCGGCTACAACGCTTGCATCTATTACTTCCCTTCTACATGACTTTACTGAAAGAACCAAGAAGATGAATTCCTGCAGTCACGAAAGCTTTAAATCGAAATTTACTCTTATGTTATTTACTTAACACAATTTAACAGGCCAACTTGAGCAAGAGCACTTTAATGTCATTAAATAAAGAGCATATCATGTAAGAGTTTTTGGCCAAAAAACTTAGAATCTGAATTCTTTAAAATAAACATTAACACATGTCGATCATAATGTGTTTTGAGATGTGACAATTTGGCCCCTCTGCAATTCAGTTGTGCAGAATCGGGTTCATATTTGTATTTAAGTATTATATATATTCTTAGGGCATGTAGATTTATAGTTTCCAAAGTCATGAATCTGCAATGTATCCATGAACCTCACATATAGTTTGAAAATAATGTATTCAACATGTACCATTTGGTGTACGTGTCGCGATGGTAAGATCTTATTTGTTTAATTGTTTCATGCGCTCTATGTCTTGTGCGCTTGGATTCACTTATTGTATTTCTATATTGTTAGTATAAATAGTGCCAGTATCTCACGATGTTGTATACAGTAAGCATGTAAAACTAAACAGTACATGAAGATAAAACTAACAAGCAATATAATGAAAGACAAAAACACAAAAAACACGAGTCAGGCAGATTAGGCTGTGGCCTGACGCTCTGCGCAAGCGGACATACTGAGCTCTTTGTTCCTTGCAGGTGAGATCTTTGAGCTGAAGGCTGACCTCAACAGCGACAAGAAGGAGAAAAAGAAGGAGGCTGTGAAGAAGGTGATTGCCTCCATGACGGTGGGCAAGGACGTCAGGTGAGGGCATGCTAACCGAAGTTCACTCTCGGAGCTTGTCGCGCCATTCTTATTTCACCCGTTGGGTAAATGCCGAAGTGCGACATTTCTGGACAAACTTGACGCCCGGTGTAAATGGAGGGAAGAATGACACACTGACATCACCGATCACGTGGCCGAATTATCCGGTGCAAAAATGCAACGTTCAGCAGAGTGGGCACTGCGTCCTGTTGAGTGTAAATAAACAGTGTAGGGCATGTGCAGTCCGTTGAGCGTGACAGTCATGGCGACCGCAGATTATCGACAGTGAAGGCAGAAGTTTTGGTTTGCAAGAATGCGTTGTTTCAAAACATTACTTTATATTATTTCTACTATGCTTTCTGTGCCATCTCTCATCATATGCCTTTGTGGTGTTTTTTACAATGGTAAACACCGCCACGAAGGCCTATGCCCCAATCACTTGGAATGCATCCGAACTCAATCAGATTTTGAGAGTTAAACACCCTTTTAGCCTGGATAATGCTTGGATGGGTGACCACTGTGCATGCCAGATTGTCATAGGCTGACACGGGACTGATACATTTTAGGTAGCAGGGAACAATGCAGAAAAAATATATTGTTGTTACTGTGCGTCTTTGCTCCCTACATTCACCATCCCACACTGGCCAGCGGAGTGAAGTATGGTCAAATAACCTCCATGACCCTCATGGTACGATATGGAGGCCCTCATCCAGCAGTAGACTGACAATAGCCTTGTACATGGACCTGCTGATTACACAACAGGACTGAGTTTTTACATATTTCTCATAAAACCATCCATGCGCACGGTCCATGTTGCGCAAACGTTTTTATGTGAACTTGTTTTGTTTGTAGCGCAGCCACATCTCCCCGGTGATAAAGCACCACCAACATACATTGGACGCGTGCGGTTTCAAAGCTTTCCAACTAAGCTTGATCGAGTTTTTGCATTGGCTCTGTCCGGCCATCGATTAATCTGTCTACAAAGGGGGGTGGGGGGGGGGGCACTGTAACTCATGCGGATATCGCAATACGAACACAAACGCTACTTTAGCACAGAATTGCATTACTATTAGGGACTTGCCCGATTTGAAACCGGCCAAATTGATCAAAGCATTGTCCAAAACCCAGTAGACACCAAACCAGCACAAGGAGGGTAATTTGCCAACAAATTTGCCGTCACATTCCCCATCAGCTTCATTAAATACTTCTGAAGACTGACGCATGTTGGAAAGTATTACTTCATCCGTGCGTATGCATGATTTTTGTTGCCCCAAACGCATTAATCATATTCATAAGCTGTAAGCACTTCACACGTGCGTGCGTGCGTGTCTGTGTGTACATACAGTGCGTTGTTCCCGGACGTGGTGAATTGCATGCAGACGGATAACCTGGAGCTGAAGAAACTTGTTTACCTGTACCTAATGAACTATGCGAAAAACCAGCCTGACATGGCCATTATGGCCGTCAACACCTTCGTCAAGGTGAGATCCATCGCCGGCAGCGAAGGTCGTGTTAAAAACAACGTTACTTTCGATGCGAGTGTCTTTGTGTGTTAAACATGGGGAATTGTAGCGGAGTGGTTTGCGCACTGCACCACAAACCCGGCGACCCGAGTTGGTTTCCTGCTTGCGGCCAACATCAGTGACGGTTGTTTGAACCGGTCCTGTGCCTCCACTAACCAACTCGCCCTTAAATCGGTACCTAATGTGGTCTGTAAACATAATCACTGGGGCGACAAAGACGGCCAGGCGAGATATGCTGGCCATATCTCAACCCCCATCATGCGTTGAAATACATCATCTCTTCATGCGTCTTACCGGCCTTAATAGGTGCTCTCTTTCAGCACTTACAGTCTGTGTAGGTTGCACGGCCGATCTTTGTCTTTGTTAAATGTGGCCTACGGAGCCTAGGCGGCAGTTTCGGTCAACATGTGGCATGTAGTGAGCGTGCCTGGAATGTAATGAGAAACAGCTGTGTCCAGTGTGCATTGATCAATTTATTTAAAACCGGTGAGAATGTGTTTAAATTTAAAAGAATTTTTTTTCAAGAAAAACCTGTTTAAAAAAAAAAGTATCGTAAACAAAATTGTTCTCACGCGTGTGCAAACAGTGCAATATATACATATATATGAACATTATGGCAACAAGCCGTGCGAGAATCGCGAACGGTAGTAGCGTTGGCCAACTTGCCGAAAGTCTCGCGGTGCAACCCGAAGTCGCTTCGGTGACCTTTGACCTTGCCCACTACTCCTTCCGCCATGTTCGTCCCGTCCAGGACTGCGAAGACCCGAACCCGCTGATCCGCGCGCTGGCCGTGCGCACCATGGGCTGCATCCGCGTCGACAAGATCACCGAGTACCTGTGCGAGCCGCTGCGCAAGTGCCTCAAGGACGAGGACCCGTACGTGCGCAAGACGGCCGCCGTGTGCGTGGCCAAGCTCCACGACATCAACGCGCAGCTCGTGGAGGATCAGGGATTCCTGGACACACTCAAGGATCTCATCTCCGACTCCAACCCCATGGTATGGACGATGTGGAGGGAAGTCCCAAGTGTTGCATGTGTTTTTTTGGCTCCCTAACAGCACTTGCCCCAACAGGCTATACCGGAAGTCTTGGCCTTTGCTTTGTTGTTGTGGGTTTTACTGGTAGGAAGCTCCTCATTACACCAGCCCACAGGGGATTATTGTGTCCGTCGTGCAGGGAGGGGCTGGGACATTATTACTGACTCGCATCTTGGTGGTCAAAACTTGTGATTTCCCGGTGTAAGTGTGTCTTTCTTTTTAATATAGTACCCTGACGATGACATTCAGAGAAGTCATAATGGAGCCAGCGTTCGCTTGGCTTAAACAAATGGTGCTAAAAAATATGAATTCCGTTTTCCCAGTGTTATGGCCTTCATTGATATTTGTTTTTTTTGTCAAAAAGTCAAAAGTAATTTTCTTGCTCAAATAAGCATCGAGGCAGTAGCTCGCTCATCTCTCCCATTCACAGCTTCAAGCCAGTGGTGGAAATTCCTCATTCCTAATGGTGGGGGTAGGGTCTATTTATTGGACAACCACTGTTGACTTCCCCATGAAGTGGTACCTTTTTGTATCGACCTTTGAGGGATGATGGGCTGAGTCAACCACCTAACCTGGAATTGAACTCGCAAACTTCCGATTGCAAGCCGCTCGCTCTACTACTGTGCCACCAGGCCCGTATTTGTTTTTGTGCGTACAGTACCTAAATCGTTATATTATTATCTATCAAATTAATTGCAATGAACCACACGTTTCGTCTGGGGAGGTAAGTGAAGCTTTGTGTTGATTTGATTAGTCATCACAGCGCATTGTGAGATAATGTCAGGGGGAACCTTTTTAATGCAACTATGCAAAAGAATATTGAAAATTTGAGAATAGGTGTTTAACGCAGTCATTATCATATTCACAGCTTTTTTGCACGAGATATTTTTCTCTTAATATGCCAAAAATAATGTTATTCCAATGAGGATTTGCATATATTTTCTTGTGAAGGATTTGCATGTATTTAATTAAGGATTTGCATTAATGAATTAGCACTTAAAAGCAAACGTGTCTCCAAAGCGCTTTACAAAATCCACATAAATGATAATGACGATGCCAAGAGGATGTTGTGGGGGAAAGGAGAGATTGTGCGCAATAAAAGAGAAATGGAGGTAGAGAAAGCAAGGGGGGAGAGGGTAGGGGGGAGACAAGAACCTCGTGAGCACAGCCCCCTTTTGAGTTTTCATTCCGCTTCAAACAAACATTTTCTTTCATCCATTCACACGTGGCCATGGGCTTTTGAAGTGCCGATTCTGTTGTTTTGCACAAAGCGTTAAATCAACACTACAGTGAACAGTTGGCAGTCACGATTAATTGCCCTTAATATGTGGAATAAAATTAAGCTGGTTCAATATGACCTATTTTATTAACCCGTTTTCATGTAGAACAGGGTAAAAAAAAGTGTTTCCTCTGTTCACGTGAGCATTGAGGCGGTGCTCATCTCCTGTTCGCAAACCAGAGTCGTTGGTTGACAATTCCACTTTGCTACGGTGCTGTAGGAATGTGGAATAGAACAACAACTGTTGTTTTCTGCACAAAGTAGTATCAATCTTATCAACCCTAGAGGGATGATGGTCCGATTCGACTGGCCCCCCCCTCCAACCATATTTGAAGTCGTGACCCTCCGATAAGCTGCTCTCTCGAACAGGGTAGCAGTTTATTTGTTATAAAGACATTTTGGTAAAAACGGTTGTACCAAAACGATGTTTGTGAGCTCATGTAAAGACGGTTACTTTTGCCATGATGAGAGAGCTAAGCTTGTAGGTATTTGCCTGCCTGGAAATAAAAACAAAATTCTCGCACCAACCTCTTCCGCCACCTTCCCCCTCTCTAATCCACCTCCCACCCACCCGGCTAGGTGGTTGCGAATGCCGTGGCGGCGTTGTCGGAGATCAGCGAGTCGCACCCCAACAGCCAGCTCCTGGACCTGAACCCGCAGACTATCAACAAGCTGATGACGGCACTCAACGAGTGCACCGAGTGGGGACAGATATTCATCCTTGACTCGCTCGCCAACTACATGCCCAAGGATGAGCGCGAGGCGCAGAGGTGATGATGACACGAGGGTTGCCACTCCCCTCCCGCCCCTCCCTTTGTGGTTTGGCCCAACGCAAACTCGTGGGTTTGGCCAAGCCAAAAAAATGCAGGTTTGTTGGTGGTTAAGCCGAATGGTCGGCCCTGTGGATTTGGAGCGCTGGGATGCTGTACTGCTGTTCGCAGTGGTACAGCTTTCGAGAGTGCACCTGCACCGGGTCCCGTGGGTCCGAAGGACCTGGGTGCTGATATATTTCGATGGGAGGGAGGGAGGTACACTGGTCAGGTGGGAACCCTATTAATTCCTTGCATCGGGGCCAGCGGCTGAGGGTGGCGTGGGCAATACTATTGTTTGGGACCAAAAAGTGGGTGATGTATTATCTTCGTTCTATTGTCTTTGAGAGAATGTTGTATAACGATGAGAAATTGCGACACCTTCTGGAGACCAGCGATGAATAGATCATTGTTGATGATATTGTCCTTCTTGCTCCATTCCCACAACTCGGATACAATAGGCCATTTCAAAGCTTGGCAAGATAACATTGCGCCTCCGACCGAAGCGTGCAAGCCCCGAGCGTCTCCAATTTCTTAACGCCTCCTGGAATAAAGTTGACCGACTCCTTGCCCCCCCTCCCTATGAGTCCACTGGAACTTGGACATAACCAGGGTCGTCGTGTAGCGGTGGTGTCCTGCGAACTCGAACAAACTCGAGCTATTACCTTGCCTGTTTCATGGTCTGGTCGTCCCCCCCCCCTCCGTCCCACCACCAGCGTGTGCGAGCGTGTGACTCCTCGCCTCTCGCACGCCAACTCGGGAGTGGTGCTGTCGGCCGTCAAGGTGCTCATGAAGTTCATGGAGGTGCTGCCCAAGGACTCGGAGTACCACAGCACGCTGCTCAAGAAGCTAGCGCCCCCGCTCGTTACGCTACTGTCGGCTGAGCCCGAGCTGCAGTACGTGGCGCTGCGCAACATCAACCTTATCGTCCAGAAGAGGTGAGCATCTTTTTTTTTATCTTTCTCCAAGTTTATCACAACTGTGCTATCGGCCGCATGTCTTGAGACGAAGAATTCACGTGGATCCGCTCATTAGTGAGCGGGCCAAGGAAATTCTTACTTTTTCGTGACCTCTGATTTCTGCAGTAAGGAGCAGCAGCAGCACTTAGGGGCACACCAAAAATATATGTGAATAAATAAGATGTTTGGACGAAAGCAGGGGGCTTGTAGAGTGGTGAAGCAAAATAATAATAAAAAATATTGGAGTTCTGGGGAAATCGGGTAAAGTAGAAATGCATTCAATTCAACTTGTGTTGGCTGTTTATGGGAACAAGGTCCAATTGATTTAATATCATTCACTTGTAGGGGGAAAGGCATTGGTGGCACACAGGTGATGAAGATACCTGCGTGCCAGGCCGGTTTAGAACATCTGTTTTCTACGAATGTCGGATGGGCTCAGGGGGGTTAATACCGTGTCAGAGTGCTTGAGCCGGCATGGCTGTAATCCTGGGTTTAAATCCGGATTTTTTTCCACCTGTGATTAAACCGTTCTCATGTGTAGCAGCATGCTGATGGTCTCGGCCTGATTCCCGATGCCGAAAAACCAGATATATATCGTTACATTTGGTTCTGAAAAGCAAAACTTTTGTCTGAATTTAGGTATTCACTTTATTAAGTGTCTTTTAGATTTCAAAACGAAAACAAGTTTTGGTTGGCGTTCTATGAATACTCTCAGGGATCTAAACGAGGTGTAAAAAAAGTCAAGTGTTTTCATGTTTCTGTTCAGCATTTTGAGATTCAAATTATCTCATTTTCTGGGACGATTCATTCACTGCTCGCGTTCTGAATGGAATCTTGCTGTAATCTCACGACACAACACTTGCAGCACCATTGGAATATAATTGCAGCCCGACCCCTCCGTATCTAATTATTCGCACAGTCATGGCTTAAACGTGCATTCAAGCTCAGCAACCCAGTTATCAACTGCCACAAACCACCACCTTCACCACCACAACTATCACTAACAATATAACATTCCCCATATAGCCTTTAACAGACTGTTGGTGCAAGTGCTGTTAGCGAGCACCTATTTAGGCTGAAATAGCACACGAGGCGGTGCATGACCAGCATTACGCCCGGCCACCTTTTTCTCCCCAATACTCATGTTTTACACACTGCAACCTAGGGGAGGCCCACGACCAGTATGGATATTCGTCACTGATGCGGCCAGTGAGCGGGAATCGAACTGCAGTTGTCGGGTTTGCAGTACAGTACTACTAACCAATGCGCCACCCTTCCCCCACACCACCACCACCACCACTACCATCCCTCTCCAGGCCGGACATCTTGAAGCACGAGATCAAGGTGTTCTTCGTAAAGTACAACGACCCAATCTACGTGAAGCTGGAGAAGTTGGACATCATGATCCGCCTCGCCTCCCAGGCCAACATCGCGCAGGTAACGGGCACTGCCTCTGGCCCCGCTTGTGCCAGCCAAGTGCCTGCCCTGTCCTCTCTCTCACAGGCCCGGCTCACGGCAATAGCTGTGTTTTTATTATTATTGCCAACACCGTTTTTTAAATTTATGATATATTGTGACGAGCACTGTGGTGGTAACTCATCATCTTTTTTGATGATTTTCTTCAAAGTGTTGTTTTTATCAAATGATTATAATTTTCTATTCTTGCTGCAGTCGGCCGAGTGGTGCAGTGGTAAGAATATTTGATGTATAAACTTAGCGCTGTGAGTTCAAATCTCATTTCTTCCAACATTGGTAAAATTGTTATACTTGCTGGGAATTCAACCGTGGTTATTTTATAGGTTCATCGGCCCCTGCGATGGAAATTTGGAGTCTCCTTCTTTGACATATCACAATTGAGTGCCAATTCAATCATCTTCTGATTTAGAATTTCAAATTACATTTCATTGTTTCTTACTCTCTTTTCTCTACGGTATTTTAAATAGCGCTGACAAGATCCAAACGCTGACCTATTGACTTGCCATTTAAAGTCAGCGCCGTAATAAAGCTTGCGGTTATTGCCTGGCGGTTTTACCCGTCTTGTGTCCCACCGTTCATCTGTCGGTCTGTTCGTTCACCCCATCCGTCCGTCTGTCCTCGTCCGTGCGGCTGTTGCGACGTGTTGCAGGTGCTCGCTGAGCTGAAGGAGTATGCCACGGAGGTGGACGTGGACTTTGTTCGCAAGGCCGTGCGTGCCATCGGCAGGTGCGCCATTAAAGTGGAGGTGAGGACGGACCTGGCGATGGTGCCGTGGCATCAAACGGACCCCGCAGCCTCTGCATGGACTCAATGAATCGTCACGGTTGCATCGTCGTGATTAGATTCGGATTCCTCATCTGTTTGTCTAATTTGTACGGTCTCTAGTTATTTGTTCACTGTCGTTTTGACAGTTTTATGCAGTGTGAGACTCAATGTAACACCATACCGTTTGTCTATAATAATGCTTTGCGTAAATGGTAAATAATCGCATACGCGCGCGAGTTCCGATGCATGAATCCCTACCCTAAATATATATTTTAATAGATGGATAGAGAGATGCCTTGTCATTATGGTGGTGGTAATGTTTGCCTGTTTATGTGGGAGTTTCGGTGGTGATTAATAGTGTTTGTATTAATGGGGATGTTGATTGCGGTGATGGTTTCCACAATGGACCATCCGCTTTGTAGCGAAGCAACAGTCAATGGTGGTGGTATGTTGGTGATGATCATGTTGACGGTGGTGAATGTGCGATGGTGATGGTGGACAACGGTGAAGGCCATGACAGCGGTGATTATGATGAATGTTTTGTTTTGGTTGTTTGCTAACCACTAGGCGATCAGCCCTGGGGATGTTGCGTGTTGCTGTTTAATGTTGTTTGTTGTCGTCGCCATCGTGCAGCCGTCGGCCGAGCGATGCGTGAGCACGTTACTCGACCTGATCCAGACCAAGGTCAACTACGTCGTGCAGGAGGCCGTGGTGGTCATCAAGGACATCTTCCGCAAGTACCCCAATAAGTGAGTGGGAGCGTCCAACTTTTGCCCATTGGTCATCCTTAGCCAAGCTCTATCCAATGCTGATTGAAGGCTTCCCCAAGGCCGTGTGACGTTCAAGTAAATTAACTTCTTGCTTAACCTTTGTAAATTGTGATATGTAATTGTACTCGGTGAAAGTCGAAGCAGTCACCCGAGCTGCATTTTATTAAATGCCTTCCATGTTTGAGTGCCATCATTCGTAGGGTCAGTCAAACAATGAAACGTCTTCATCCCAAGGCATAAAAAGCCTCGCACAATTTTAATCTAATTTAGCCATTCATCTAATTCTCTGGCCACAGTTTATATTCCAATCTATAAATCAAAATTATTCAAGCAGTTAACTTTTCGCAGAGCCAGCCGAGAGCCCATGGAGACAAAATTCCCTTTCAAATAACACGTGCAGTCTTCTCGTCTCTGGTTCTTCTAGAGACGATTGAGCCGAATGAGATCTCTCCACCCCCTCCTCCCTGTCTCACGCCAGCTTCACCACTTCCTTCACCTGTGTCGCCATTTTCGTTCAGTGTCATTACTTCACTGCCGTCAGTCCAGCGCATCCTTGCTCTTCCTCTGTTTCGCGTTCCGTGCGCGTGAAGCGTCACAGTTGGTATTTTTTTCCGGATCCACTCTCGACACTCGTCCGAACAACCGGAGTCATCGCTCTCGGAGTCACCTCCGGTTCCAGTCGTTCTCTTTATTTCTGGAGTACAAATGCGAAAACAAACTTTGTGCGGAACAAAAAAGAATGTGCAGATGAGGTTTTGTTACAGCTCACTTTACACAACCATTAACCTATACTTGTGAATCCAGACTCTAGCATACTTATCTTGATTACTTTGTGTGGATAGAGCCTTGTATTTTATCTCTTTACCCTTGCCTTATCTTGGTCATATAACTCCTGGCCCTTGACCTTGTCTGCCACTTCTTAAAGATGCAGACGTGATTACGCCATTGTTGCGATAACCTTAAAAGTACGATAGCTTCTACTCGCTGCAGTTAAGTCGTAGCCATTATCATGTGCCATGTCTACCTCGGTCTGACAATTACCGTGTCACCATCTCCAAGGCTTTGCTGTCACACGTAACACCTTCAGGAAGGCACAGCCCACTAAACAGCTTGATGCTGTTTTATTATACTCTCAAAACAACATCTTCTCCAGAAATGTGGAATTAGAAATACGTCGCTATTATGAAAATGCTCCTCTCTAGTACCCGATCAGCATGGTTAAGGTGCTTCCAGTGATAGATAAATATTGTTTCGAATTACAAGCCCTCATGTATGAAATCAAGTCGTGGACTGTGCCACCTTGTTGCATGACGTTGTCAAAAGTTTGGGTGAGGGGGCTCATACAAAACTAGAGGTTTGCACAATAGCCAACGACTTGACCTTAACAATTTAGAAGGGGGAGGTGGGTTGAGCGTTCAACAGTGGGAAGCCCCCCATTCAGCCCCACCTACCCACTTCCACCACTCCTGGGGTTGGGCTACACTTTTCCAACAGCTGCTTTAAATCCTTACTCCAAAGTTTGACCGTCTAACAAACCTGCGGTCGCGATCGTCACCCCGACGGTAAACGCCACGGTTGGTGACCTGACTCTGCTTGGGCGCCCGTCGCAGGTACGAGAGCATCATCGCCACGCTGTGCGAGAACCTGGACTCGCTGGATGAGCCGGAGGCGCGCGCCGCCATGATCTGGATCGTGGGCGAGTACGCGGAGCGCATCGACAACGCCGACGAGCTGCTGGAGTCCTTCCTCGAGGGTTTCCACGACGAGAGCACGCAGGCACGCACGCCACCACCGCCACCGTGGAATTTTTTTATTGTGGATAATGATGTTTACGGTTAGGGTTTAAGGTTACGGGGCGCCGCGGTTGGCAAGATGTTAACTCCCTCTCCCTGGTATGCATGAGGTTGTGCGTTCGATCTCGATCCTGACGCCTGTTTGTATATTTGGGGTTTGCGTGTCTTGCTCTTCCTGTGGTCGTGTGGATTTTCTCCGGGTCCTCCGGTTTTTCCCTCCAATTAGAATCGACATGCATTGAGAGTATTTGGTTGCTATAAATTTCAACGTGGTAAGCCACTTCGTTGAGCTGTCATTTGTGGTCGCAGCCTTTTGGAAAAAGAGCTATATAGCTCACTGGGCCTTACATGGTAAAATTAAAATTGTTTAGTTTTAGTAGTTTTAGTTTTTTACATTGTAATTGACGCCACTGTGTTCAGCAGTGCTGTTTCTTGGATTTTTGCGTCAGCCCACTCATTGAGGTGGCAGTGGCGGCTCAGAGTTGAGTGGTTTTGCTGCCACCACGGAGAGCTTGGGTTGGGATACAGGTTTGAGCCGCCTGTGATTAAACTGGGTTCTCAAGTGGAGAGGTTTGAGTGTCCTTGCATTGTGACCGATGGCTTAAATAGAGCCATAGACTCGCATATAGATGTAGACTCACAGAAAGCCATAGACTTACATAGATTGAGTTGTGATTAAATTAGGTTCTGAAGTGTAGTGAGTTGATCGTCTCAGCCTCAGTCACCAATAACTGCGCCAAAAAAAATATTCCATTTTAGAAAGGTACAAACGGTGGTGTCGTCATCGATTGTAGCAGGTGGTGCAACTGCACCAGGCCCCATCAGCCCGAATGGCCCAGGCACCTGGGAGCCATGCCATCCACACTGCACCACTGATAACAAGTGTAGGCGCATGCGCGTACAAGATGGTGTTAAGTGTAAATAACGGCGGACTGATCCATTGCTTTGTGCAAATCAACAGGTGCAGTTGTCGTTGCTGACGGCCATTGTGAAGCTGTTCCTCAAGAAGCCGACGGAGACGCAGGAACTGGTGCAGCAGGTGCTGAGCCTGGCCACTCAGGTGAGTGGCTGTGGGGCTTGGGCCACGCAGCGGTGGTTGTGTGATGCTCAGTCGCCCACTAAAACCCCCTCTAACCCCCCTCGAACCCCCATAACCTAAAACCCAAACCTGCCTGCTACCCTCCGGCCAGGACTCGGACAACCCAGACCTGCGCGACCGTGGCTACATCTACTGGCGCCTGCTGTCCACGGATCCCGTGGCCGCCAAGGAGGTGGTGCTGGCGGAGAAGCCGCTCATCTCGGAGGAGACGGATCTGCTGGAGCCCACGCTGCTCGAGGAGCTCATTTGCCACATCTCGTCGCTCGCTTCCGTATACCACAAGCCGCCCAGCGCCTTCGTGGAGGGCAGCCGCGGCACGCAGGCCCGCCGCCTGCTGCCCGCGCGCTCCGCATCGTGAGTGCCAGGGGTTTCTTGTTGCGTTAAAGGTTCTTAGGTTTTTTCGATCGTGTTGCCGATGTGCGGGCGTGTGGGCACGACGCTGTGAAGAGGTGCATTGATGTCGTTGAAGTGATTTGGCCGCAGCTTCCTGTCGGCTAGCCTTCGATATTTTACTTGGCCTCAGTGCACCTAGCCTGGCATAACAAGTGCTGTGGGGACGTCACCACGACTTATTAGCGAATGACGTCTTTTGTTGTTGCCATTGTTGCATGTGTGTGTGCGTGCGTATTTTTGGCAGTGTACGTATGTGCACCATCAGTATAGGCACTGCCAGTATATACACCGCCATTATGTGCGCCCGTATGTCTTTGTGGTGGTGGTTGAAGGGGCCGAAGTGCAGTGATTAGCGGGCTGCACTACGAACCCAGCGAGCCGAGTTTGATTTCCGCTCACAGCCAACACAAGTGAAGATTATCTGAACTGGCCATGGCCTCCCCTAGGTTTACTCAACCTCAAAATGAGTACCTGGTACGGTGTGTAAACATCGCCACAAGGGAGACAAAGGCGGCCGGGCGTGGTGCTGGCCACTGACCCTGTCGTGTGCCGTACACGCCCTCACGGGTGCTACTCGCTAATAACACTCGCCCAAAAAGTCTGAGCTTTTACTTGAAGCTTTGTGTTTTGTGGTGAAGGAGCGAGAGCGTGGAGAGCCCCGAGCTGTCGGCGCAGGCGGCGCACGGCCTGGCGCAGGCGTCGCAGCAGCCTCAGCAGCAGCAGGTGATCCCGTCCCAGAGCGACCTCCTGGGCGACCTCCTCAACCTCGACCTGGGCCCTCCGGTCACCGTGCCGTCCGGCCCGCCTGCCATGCAGATGGGTGCCTACGACCTGCTCGGGGGAGGGCTCGACAGCCTGGTGAGGAGGGTGGCCAGGGGCGACTGCTATAGAACAACAAGACGGTAGCAGTAACTTAACGAGTTATACAAACTCGTGCTTATGAGTGGATTATGTAATGCATTCCAACAGTGCGGTGTCCTCGGAAGTGTTTAACTTGCAGTTCTTGAGCCAATGGAGGATCTGTCAGGGTAAAATACTTTGCATATTTGTAAATAGTCCTTTTAGCTCTGGTTTGTTTTCTGCAAGTTTTGGGAAGCCCTCTGATCGATTTAACCGGCTTTTCAAGAGGGAAATTGCTTAATAGCAACACCATGTTCACCCTTAGTTGGAAAGCCTGAAAATACCATGCGTTATCGCTTTGTTTTGCAAGGTGACCGAGAGAGGGCAATAGAATAATGAATTATTGAATATATTGCGCAGTTTTGTGTTATCCCTTCATATTCTCCAGATGCTTCACTTTCTTCCCACATGCCAGACACACTTGAATGGAATACGACAAACATCTCTCTGTAGCAAGACCCTCCTGCAAAACAGACCTAAGACTCCATGAGGCTTTCCTGGCTGAATTTAAGGACTACTAATACAATTGAGTGTCTAGTTGTCCCGACGTGCAATGTCTTTTTTTTTCGCATGGTGATGCGTCAAGTTTCAAAATAATTTTTAGTTAACCAAGTGAGAATGCAAGGGGCCAGGATGAGTCTCATTTGACCTGGATCACCAAATTGACAAATGCTAACAAGCAAAATTAATTGCAGAAATGGCCCAATTAGAAATAAGATCAAAAACAACATTCCCATCATAAATCGAAAATATTGAGCAAACATAAATTGATTTTGAATGATAAATTCCCTGTCGCTTGAGTTTGCTCGAGCAACAATGTTTTTATACCATATCATAGTTTAATGACAAATTAGGTTAAAGTAATATTTAACAGATGTATGGTGACGATTGGACTAAAATATAAACGGGCAAGGATGTCACATGCAATCGCAAGTGAAGTTATAAAGAAACAACAGTTCAGCATCATATATATGGAGCAGTGTTAGTGAGAAGGCAGTTTCCATTGGATTTTTATTTCATTAGATGAACGGCCGACGACGTTAAATGCAGTAGCGGTTTTTGTGCTTTTTCCTGCCAGTTATTGACAGAAACTTTCTTTCACGCCAACGTGAATTTCTATAAAGAACAAGTTGCCGGTAAGAAGTCGGCGCGATGAAATAAACTATTAGAACAAAAAAAATGCGTTTTAATGAAGCTTCAAGAACTCTTGGAAAAGATAATTTGCAAGCTCATTGAGAGTGCAAAATGGAGTCTGGTATTGAATGGGGAAAGTGGAAGGGAGGTGATGCAAAGTACGTGGTGTACTCAATCCTTTGTGACATGTGGTCACTAATACTGTATTCGGATGAAACGGATATAATCGGCTATGTGTTGGGTAATGACCCTAATTCATGGCATTTAAAATTCCCATTCATTTACGTGTTATGAAGAAGGGCCATTGCTTGACTCATCCCCTATTTTACCTACGATGTCATCGTCCCTTCAGCCAAGGCTATGGCTTGACTCGGTGACCCTATCGGGTTGAAGGATGACATGATGACGTCGTTGCAATTTAACGCCGACTCCTCAAGCAACCTGGGCAAGCATGCACGCATGTTTAGCTAATACCAGTTACATATCGTTTATGTGTTTAGCTATCGGAGGAAACTTGAAAACCAGGAGGAAACCCATGCAGAACAGGGGGAAAACATACAAACTCCATACAAAAAATGGGCCCGAGTCAAGGAATCGAACCCAGGCCCATCTTGCTGATGAAGACCGAGATAAAATCTGTAGCATTTTTTGCAATGTGTTGCAGGTTTATTTTTGTATTTATTTTTGTATTCGTTGTCGAGAGTTTAACTTAATCAATGACAATTTTCCGCGGCGCGAGCGAGCGCATGTGTCATGTTGGGGTGAGCGTATAGTCCTGGCGGTCGATTTTTGTGTCAAACAGTGCAGAAGTCGGGTGCCATGCCTTTGAGAATCTCACTTTTATTCATGAAAGAAATAAAATCCACATGAAAGGTCGCATTATTCTGGGAAAGACGCAGAAAAAGGTGGAGGCATGAATTATTTTGAAGGACATGAAAAGCAGCTTGGCCTGTCGTTTGTAGTCGAGCTTCTGTCTATAAGGTCTCGGGGTCACATGACTACGTTTGCCTTTACTTTGTTTTTTTGTTCTTGTCTGTTTGAAAACATTATTTCTTTGAATTCTGGACTTTGTCTTTCTCCCCTTTTTCTCTGTGTGATCTTTGCTCTCTTCCTCTGGTGCGTGCGTGGCTGCCCTCTCTGTTTGTGTGCACGCCTGTGCCTGCGTGCGAGCGTGCATATGCGTGTGTTCACGTGCGTGTGTTTGTGTACGTAAATGCACGTGTGTTGATTCGTGTGTTTGCATACGTGTGTTTGCATACATGTGTGTACGGAAACTTGTGTGCGTGTGTACATACGTGTGTGTGTGTGCGCGTGTATTCGTCTGTCGCGTACTTTCGTGTGTGTGATCATGCGTGTGCGTACGTGTGTGCGCGTGCGTGTGTGTGCACGTGCCTGCTTGCGTGTGTGTGCGCCTGCGTGACGTGTACATATGGCTCTGTGTACGTCCATGCGCGTGTGTTCATGTGCGTGCGCATTTGCGCCTTCCTGCTCTGGAGATGGGCGAGGAGAGCGAAGGGGTAGGCTATCTCTGTCCTTGCGCTTCCACCCCACACTGCCCTTTACCATTGCCGCGTTTGATATGGCTGGCTCTGGTTGGCTCCGTGTGTTCCCATCCGGCCTGCTTGAGTTCCACTCACCGCCACAGCAGGTCACAAGGGACCCCTCCTCATTCACGGCAAATGACAAAAAACACATGGCGAGCCCGTGCTAGGAACTGTGAGATAAGAGTTGATGCCGCAACGCAATGAAACGGCATGCCAAGACGTCTGACTTGGCATGACCGTTGTCCATTGCTCTGCATCAAATACCTGCTGTCGTTATCATAGTTTTGGTTATCATCATGAGGCTACGTAAACAATGCGGGTGTTAATGTGCGAACCTCAACACTCCTTGTCTCAAGATGTAGGCGTGTGCCTATGTGTTTTGAACCGGTGTACATTTGCATAGAGAGCCTGTTTTGTAATCCACTACTGGATCAGGGCCTCCCCACACTGTTGTGCATGTGGGTTATTTGACCATACTTCGTCACTTTGGTCATTGCCGATTGGTGAAGGGCCGAGACCTTAGAAGTGGGAGCATAGAAAGTACAGTACAATAACGGATTTTGCTGCATTGCCCTCTGCTACCCACGATGTAGTTCTGCATAACCATTAATAAGCGGGAAATATAAGATTAACAAAACATTACATGGTCTTTAATGATATAATTGTGTAAACGAAAATCGGTGAATTCTCATTAGGTGAAGCGTCCCAATTACTAGAGACACCTGGAGCGCATAAACAGCAGATGACAAAGGTGAAGATGCAAGGCGGATGTCGTCACTCCAATATTGTACTTTTAATCCTGCTTGTAGCCCTAATTCTCACCCCCTAACGCATCATCGCTCCTAACCATCACCGCAAGCGCTTGCCAAGATCCTTCGAAACGCGTGCGCAGAACTGTGCCAAACCTGCTCCATTATTCATCGCTGCCGCGCCGATTTGTTTTGCTGTCGATGCCAAGAGATGGCAAAAATGAATGGGCCGGGCAGCGGTGTCGGCTGGCACGCCCGCGGCTCTTTCGTGGCGACGCAGCCGAAACCGTTGCCCGCCTCGTGCCTCGCCATCTCCCACGTCGTCCCACACGTGGCCGCACCCGCCGATCGCGACCCGATGGTTTGGACGTTTCAGTGACCTCTTGTCTCTGTTTCTTGCTGTTGCAGCTTGGCGGGGACATGGGAGGCACTCCTGCCGTAAGTATTGCTTCTTGTGAGTGACGGGTGACGCATTGAGGGATTGCAACAATTTACAGGGATGGCATTAACAATTTGATATCCAGTCGGCCAGTTTCAGGAGGATGCAGGAGCGATTTTCGGAGATGTATGTACGTCAAACTTCTTTTGCACTGTGCGTAGCAAACCGTGCTAATTGGAGGTGTGGGGGGAAGGACAACAAACCACTAAAAGCAATTGTAAAGAAATGAGTTTTCTATCTGGATTTAAAAGTGCATAGCTCCAGTGGCTTCCTAATATCGGAAGGAAGAGATGTTTGCGGAGAATGAGAAATGGTGGGATTGGTGCTCGCCATGAGATGCTTCATTACTTGAAGGGGATCACCACAGTCGCACAGTGGAGTGTCCTCTCAATTCCCGCACGTTTTCTATTTTCCTAAGTTATTATAACCTTTCGCAGTTCTATAGTGCCATTTGTTTCTAGCCTCTATGTTTTGGAGGTTTGGTATTGTGTTCAGCAAGTGTGTTTAAAAAAAAAAGACATCTGCAGCATCCCATTGCTAATGAATCACCTGCAGATTACTCAATTGGGATTATGTAGAGCAGCATTGTCCCCTTAGAGCAATAGCTTTGGAACCTTGAGAGGATTTCTTGGCTTAACAAGCACGATAAAAACAACAGTGATCCACCAGTGAATTTCATAGATGTTCCATGGAGGAATGAGCAACAGTGAACAGTTGTGCTCATCTCAAGAAGTTCCTTTTGAAACCAAAAAAAGATCATTTACCAGGTAAAGCTCACGGAGCTATATTAACTCTTTATCAGAAATGACCTGGCCACAAATAATAGCTCGATTAAGTGGTTTATCGAGGAGACATTTATAGCAGCCAAATACTCTGAACGCAGATTTATTCTAAATGTGAAGGGAAAAACCGGCGGACCTGAAGAAAAATCTACGAGATCACAGGGAGAGAGACATGCAAACTCCAAATATACAGGCGTCAGTGTCGGGATCGAACCTACGACCTCTTGTATACCAGGCGAGGCAGTTAAAACATCTCTCCGCCATGGCGCCCCATTGCGTCAAGTTGTTTAACCACCATCGCACTGCGGTGTGCCCTCGTCTCTGTTGGTGCAGAGGCTATCCACAGCTTCCCTGTGGGGCGCCGATGCGGTTCATGACCATAATCCTCTGTCGCCGAGTGAGTGTGGAATAGCCAGGAGGCTTTGCCTTCGGGCCAGCTTCGAGGCTCTTATTTCCCACCGTTCATTTGCTTCTGTACCCTCGCCTTCGCGCCTAATTACATTTTCGAGCCCCCACCAATCCAGACAGCTGCGCCTTCAGCATTCGCGGCCACGAACTGCGGGAAGGGGTTGGTGTGTGATTGACGGCTTTTAAAGCCTCTAACGGAACATTAATCTGTCGTGGCGTTTGAGTAATGCGGCATCAACACGGAGTACACGTTTCCAGTCCCGGCTTGCTCATGAGTTATGAACGGGTTTTGTTATGCTTCAGTGTATATTGTTTGTGTGTATGCATGTGTGTGCATGTGTGTGTGTCTGTGCGTGTCTGTGCGTTTGTGTGGTGGGGAGTGGCAGTGTAGCAGTTAGCGCGCTGCACGGTGAACCTGGCGACCCGGGTTCGATTCCCGCTCACGGCCAACACCGGTGACGATTATCTGAACTCGTCCTGGCCCCCCCCTTGGCCGACTCGACCTCAAATGAGTACCTGGTGGAGTGTGTATAAACTTGCCACTAGGGAGACAAAGGCAGCCGGGAATGGTGCTGGCCACCCACACCCCCGTGTGCAGTGTCAGCCTTTACAGGTGCTCGTTAATAGTGTAGTGATGCTGTGATTCACTCATTGTGCTGCATGCCATGACCTTTGACCATGGCTCACATCACTGGCAAGCAACATATGCACCTGTCCTGTGCTCCCTAGGTCGACTGCTATGAGTATCAAGTGCAGTGCATATGTATCAGCATGAAGTAGGGAGGGGAGAGTGGGGAAGTTGGTGGTGCCGGTCACACCCCTCCGTGTATTTTGTTAGTAGTTGCTCGCTAACAGCACTTGCCCCAGCAGAATGTATGGCTGAATGGGGAATCTGTATCTTTTGTGTGCATCTGTGCGCTTTAGATGAGCGGAGGGATGGGGGGTCCTGCTGTGATGCCTGCATCTCTGGCCGCCCCCGTTGGAGGAGGGCTCGGAGACCTGTTTGATCTCGCGGGCGGAATCGGCATGCCGACCGGCACATACGTGCCCCCTAAAACCGTGAGTTCCTCTGTTGTGTTGGGAAGTGAAATTGAATCTGTGGGGGGAGGTACAATCGGTGTCATTATCATCATCATCATCAACAGTGGCGAAGCGTGGTTTGTGGGGGCCCTCGTGCGATTCATTTAGATGGGGCTCAACTGTCCCATTTCCACCCCTTGTTGTAACCTGACACATGGGCTGCTCTGGCCTGTGGATCTCGGTGCAGTTACACTGCCTGTACACTCAATAACTATGCCGCTGATCATCAACAAAATATACTGGATCATCCGTATCGTCACCGTTATTAATACTCATTAGCAATATAAAATGTAATGGTAATCGTACATTATGATGGTCATAAATGCAAATCCATCTTAAATATAAATTGCCCGTAACTATCATCTTAAATGTAAACGTTATAATAAGTGTTACCATCTCTATAAAGTATCAATGTTTATTATTATAATTAATGTCAAATATCATTGTTTTGTCTCTTATGATTTTCATCATAAATATGAATCCTCAGTATATAACGTAAATTACCATCATTGTAACCTTCAATGTAAAATATTCTATCGGTATTATCCTAAACTTTATAAATCAGTTTCACGATCATCATCGATACCATCAGCTGTGAAACAAGTAAAGTACCACTGGAATTTTTCTGCCTGTAATATATTTTGCTAGGTGACTCTCGGAGGCCTTGTATACCTGTGCATTGATGTACAGGAACCGGACCTGTGTAGTAATTTAGCCAGTGCAAGAGACTGCTTAGATTTGGGTCGAGACGCCGCTGCGGATGGAGTTACAGGATAAACAAAAAAAAATCCCTGCAGATCTCCATCTCGTCCATAAGGTTCATTAAAGCCAACCGTTACAATGCGTATTTTAACAGGACCAAAGTTTTGATTTGTACACATGCGACCCCTCCTTTACTTTGAAATACAAGTTGGCTGATATCGCCGCGGAACCACAGCTGCGCAGGGTTTTTAGGCAATACAGTCAACTCTCGATTATCCAGAGAAATTGGAGTGAAGGATTGCCTGTATGTGCCAAACACGGATTGTGAAAACGCATGTAAATTAGGATATTTAAAAAATAAACACAGTTTTGTTCACTCGCGTTAAATGGAAGTGACCAAGTAGAATGTGTATTGCGTCTTGCGGTTACTTGGACTTTGAGTCCACTGGCCCTCGTCATTACCATCACTATTATCTTAAAAAGTATCAGTATTTGCATTGTCGTTAAGTTAGGAGCTGCTAATAATTAAACTAGCAAGCACTGTCAATACGCAATCCGGATAAACCACGACATGGATAATCGAGAGTTAACTATTTCATGTTATTATTACCACTACTTCTTGACTCCTTGGTGTATTTTTACACTGCATTTCTGCAGGACCGTTATGGATCCTTCGAGAAAAGTCTCGTGAATGTAAGACCATGGGAAAACGGCGCTTCGATTTTTGGCACATGGTTCTCGGCTTGGAAAAAATGATTCTTCATAAATTTTGGGGGCGGATAAACTGTTGTTTGGGGGTGTCCACACCCTCTTGATTATGTAAATGTAAAGCAAGTGCAAAAGTTAAGAGACAAGGTGAGCTTTTGACATAAAAGGTGAAGTGCGATTCAAAGTGTCTTCCTGTTCAAACGAGCATTGGGGACAGCGCTCATTTCCTTTTGCGGGTTCTACTCTATTCCGGGGGTTGTTGTTATTTTTAAGCGAATCCAACACAACCGCGATTAATTTTTTTGCAACGCTACTAATAGCAAAAACAAGCCGGCCCTGCTTTTTCCAGTCTTTAAGTGAAGGGGCCTCTGTCCCCCATTTGGCAGTTTGTCCTGCAATATATAAACGATAGTTAATTGATTAGATTTACATTAAAACGTGCCCAACCACTGTGTAGCATTGGTGGTAGGATGTGGAACTCTTGGTAAAGACAGGGCTGGCTTATCTCGCTGCTCCCACTCTCACTGTTCATGGTCGAAGTTTTACGCTGTTGATAAAGTAGTATAAATTGATACTCAAATACGTTTATGTTGTGTGCTATATTTTTAAAAAGTAATCCTTTTGTTCATCGCTGTCGTCACTACTGGCCTTGACATCACGTGTAAGGAAACACGATATTACATTTGTGGTGACTCATATTTTTCTGCGTGTGTGCGCGCGCGCGTTTGTTTTGTTTTTGGCGTGGTTGGTTTTCTTGTTCCCGTCGTCGGACCTTTGCAGATGTGGCTGCCAGCCGTGAAGGCCAAGGGCCTGGAGATCCAGGGCACCTTCTCACGCCGCCAGAGCCAGATCTACATGGAGCTGTCCTTCACCAACAAGGCCCTGCAGGCCATGACCGACTTTGCCATCCAGCTCAACAAGAACAGGTGCGTGGCACTGCGGCGTCGGCACTTGCTGAACACGGAAGAAAAATCGCGCGCAAGCTCGACGCTTTCCTTGCGTGCGACGGCACTCGGAAGTGTTTGGTTAACTATGAGATGTGTGCGCGTGTGGTTGATGGTATGTGTGGTTCATGCAGACTTAATGTCTTGTTATAGGTGTATTTGGTGTTTTAACATCTTAACACTTGTATTTATTGCCAGAAAGGGTGAAAGCCTTTTTTTATCATCTTGATGCTGGCAAAAAGTGTCCCATGAACGAGAGATGACTGTCGTGTGGTGTGTTACATGTGGACTGGGCTAGGTGCCGGCGCACGCAGTATTTTTATTGCCAAACTTTTATCAACGTTTTGATTTTCTCTGATTTTAGCGAGCACATTTATGCTTTCAATCTGAGTTGGAAAGCGTTAAGAATGTAACCGTCAGTTTCTTGAGATGCGTATGTCTTATTCAGGGCTATCCCTAATGATGAAGCAAGTTCCAATGAGCTCTATTCAAAGTAGACGTGATATAATAACGCTACCTCTAAGAAGCTATCTGAAGGGACAAGCGTTGATCTCAAACATGCGCTTTAATGTCACAACTTGTTAGCCCTGCGTGTATCTCGCAGTGACTTTTCTGACGGTGCTTGTTCTCCACCCGCTTTCCCTGCATCAACTCCCGCTCCGTCCCCTCTGGTCCATCTGCGCTTCCATCCGCTCACTTCTCACCCTCGCCCGCCACCCCATCGCTCGTCTTCGCCACGCCTGCTCGCCACCGTTTCTCCCCGACCGACCTCCCCGCCGCTCCACCCCTCCTGCGCTGTGCCCAGCTTTGGCGTGGTGCCAGCCTCTCCCCTGCAGGTCCACGCGCCCCTCATGCCCAACCAATCCATCGACGTGTCGCTCCCCCTCAACACGCTGGGCCCCGTCATGAAGATGGATCCCCTGAACAACCTGCAGGTAACGCCGTGCTGGAGCGGGTGCTCTGTCACCGGGGTCTGCTGCCCCGCAGTCTACCGCCGCCCACCTGTGTGTACGTGTTCCAAAACTAGACGCGGAACGATTAAGTGGCTGATGTGTCGACTTGCCGTTTAACGATTGGGATATTAACGTCTCAAAACTTGGCATGAAAAGATTGGGCGCTTGGTGACTCAAAACTAGGCCTATAACGATTAAGAATTTCACGTCTCAATAATATCTTTGGAGCGATTCGGAATTTAATGTTCCAACACGAGGTATGTAATGATGAGAAATTTAATCTCTCAAAACTGGGCATGTCATGTCTCAATTGAACTTATAACGGTCAGGTATATAATGTCTCAATCGAACGTGTAATAATTAATTAGGTGTGCGCGTTACGCCAATTTTGTCAACTCCGATAAAATATTGGCATGGTATTTCCTGAATTGCTTAAGAATCGAGTATTTACGATGAATGCAAATTGTTTGCAAATTGTATGGCAATGTTTCATATCGGCTGATGGGAGTGTTCAAAACTGTTTGAACGAGATAGAACAAAAAATAAAAACAACAAAATCACGAGACAGTAAAAAATATGCATAAAAGAAAGTTCGATTATTCAATTGAATCGGGAGGCGCCTAAACAAAAAAATCCAGATCATGCCATCGCCATATGTGTCCTCATTTGCGATGGCTGACACCGCATCGTGGGAGGAAGGGAGCAATGCTTAGTCAGGAAAATTAGCGTACAGTGATTTACATCGGTTTGTTTCTCGACAGCCTGTCATGCATCTCAGCTTGGAGGGCATCGAGAAGCAAGCAGGCTGTGTTCCATTGGATAAAATTTCATAATTGTCTTCCTGTCACGTTTATTTCTTCGCTTTCCTCTTGTTACTGTTCTGTTGACGGACAGAGTAATGACAGAAAAGTGAGCTCGACAGACCGGCACAACATCTTCCTTCATTATTTTTAAGCGTCCTGTTATATATATATATATATGTGTGTGTGTGTGCCACTGGGGAACGGTTAATTGTGGTACGGTGGCAGCTCATCCGTTTAATTAGAGATTTAAATGTCATCGCTGCCGACAAACGTTGACCTTGGTGACCCCGGCACGTGAACCCCCGTCTTCTGCTTCTGACGATAACATTGCGAATCGGTACGGGAAGGGACACGATGCGCTCGCTCAGGGGCACGGTACTGTTGAGCGTGTACTCGGGCAAAAAAAAAACATTATTCGCTGTATCAAAGGAGTAAATACATTTATGTGCTGTTGTTTCATCACCGGTGCACTCAGCCTTTCGTAGCTTATTTGCTCACTAAATGTATTCCGACGTGCTCTGGGCATCATGTCTTGAGATGAAGAATCAGGTTGAGAAATTGGCGTGACCCGCCGCCACGTTAGAGAATGGAGCACGGAAGTGCAGATCACAGAAATGCTGCTGAGATTCCTTCTAAGTGGCCTCGCCCTCTCGCCCTGTTGCAGACTCACTTTTTCTGTCTCGTGCCAGTGGCCTTGTTTGCCTGTTCCCTAGCACCCGCTGCATGCGAGCATGTGTGAGCATGCGGTTGCCATCTGTGGCCGCCGTGCCGCCGCAAGCCTAATGCGGCACGCGGTCGCAAATCCTGAGCGGTGTCTCTAAATCGGACGGACGTTTGAAGCTGCATTATTAGGGTGTCTGTAGACCCGAGCGGAGGGAGGAGGGAGAGACAGGTGTCACGACCTCATCGCTGCTTCATGCTTCTTCAAGGAATCATTCCCAATAGAGCGCTTTATTTCTGTCTGTTCGCGCATGCGTAAAGGCAGGGCGATGCATGAATACTAGTCTCGGGATAAATCGCCGCCTGTAGTGATTCGGGGGGGGGGGGTTGCGATTTTGTTTGCGAGTGTGTTCTATTTTATTTTTACCATTCCATTTGTAGTGCTCTTGTAGCACCTGCAGTGGCTTCTGTAGGTGATGTTTATTAATTACATTCAACACGAATCTGATATAACTTTCTTGGTTCTTTCGGTAAAGTCACGTAGAATGGAAATAATAAAATAATAAAAATAAAACATTAAATAATTCTCACGACGTTTCGGCCACAACGCAAGCAGTTGTCCTCAGGTGAAGAACAGGTCTGTCGATAAGACAGATTCTGAATGACACGTCCTGGGCTTGGAGCGTCTATTTAAGCTGGGAGGGAGGAGGAAGAGCGCCTTGTCAAAGCGCCTTGTCAAGGCGCTCTTCCTCCTCCCTCCCAGCTTAAATAGACGCTCCAAGCCCAGGATGTGTCATTCAGACTCTGTCTTATCGACAGACCTGTTCTTCACCTGAGGACGGCTGCTTGCGTTGTGGCCGAAACGTCGTGAGAATTATTTTAAGATGTTTTATTTTTATTATTTTATTATTTCCATTCTACGTGACTTTACCGAAAGAACCAAGAAGATCAATCCCTGCAGTCATGAAAGCTTTAAATCGAAATCTGATATAATTTCTCTACCTGTGCAGTATTCAACGTTTAAGAGACAAATCAATGATACATCGTGCGGCTAAGAATCTGATATCTTACATTTGTTTTAAACAAGTTGGCACGTTGTTGCGTGTGCACCCTTTAATTATATGTATTTGCAGGCAGCCGTAACACTGCGCTGAAGTGCATTTTGCAGTAGGATAATGTCATAGGCGGCGACGAAACTGGACTGGCGCCAAACCCGATGGTTGCCAGGAAATTCAGCTGAGCTGCGAGGTGGTGATATTAACAGATTGAGGTGCAGCTGTGCTGTCTGGAAAGACTGTGTTAGTAAACTTGTACTAAAATACACATCAGCTTCGCGCGCAACTCCTTTCAGCGATTGTGCGGTTGGTATAGTGCTCCGGTTTGAATACTGTATTTGGGTTGAATTGTCTCCATGTTCTTTGTTGCATGGCTTTCCTCATTTTTTAAGTCGTTAGGGAGAGTTTGAGGTTGCACTCCAAAACGATTAATAAATGTAATCAGAAGAAGAATGTCGGGTATTTAACTAAAACTAAACTAAACTTTTTATTTTCATGTTACCAGTTAAGGCCCATTGAGCAAAATATATTTTTTCAGAAGCGACCTGGCCATAAATTATATCTCAACGAAGTGGTTTATCATCTGAACATTTATAGCAGCCAAATACTCTGAAATGCATGTTTCTAAATGTGGAGGGAAAAACTGGAGGACCTGGCGAAAAATCTACGCGACCACGGGGGAAACATGCAAGCTCCAAATATATAGGCGTCAGGGTCGGCATCTCACCCACGACCTGCATACCAGGAGAAGTAGTTAACATCTTGCTATCGAGATGTTAGCAGAGGGTCATCTCACCGCGTCCCAATACACCTTTTGTAATTAGGATCTTGCATTGGGGTCGAGGGGGGGGAGGGAGTGGTTTTAAATCTTTCATCCTGGGGAGGTAACTAGAATATGCCAGAGAAAAAAAATTTACTCGGAACAGAGAATAACACTCCAAAATCTGCAGTAGCTAGGTTTCGCATCCTACTTGCTGCACGGTCGTGCGACAAGCAGCAGGGCACGGGGCTCCCGCTGCTTTTGACGGATGGTGTGCGCCGCCGGCCACAAACATTCACGACTTTCTGCTGCTCGCTCCGGGCCTCTCGCTGTCTCCCGCATCCTTTTTGCCTCTGTCCTGCTTGCCGTCTTTCTCTCGCTCACTCTCTTCCTGCGTTCCCTGTTTTACAGTCTCGTTTTCTCTTACTTATTTTCTCACTCTTGCTGGCTCACTAATTCTTGCTCTGGCTCTCGCTTTGCCTCTTTTTCTGGCTGTCTTTCACTTCCTTTTGCTATCTCTGTTTCCTGCTGGCTGTTCTATGCATGCTCTTGCCATGTAGCTCGCCCTTGCCAGCCCAAGTTCTATTATTCATCCATCTCTTCCTCATTGGTTCTGGCTCTTCTGTTACAGGCATATTCTTCTGCTTGCTTTCCCTCACCCTTTCATTCTCTTTTTGACGCTCCTGTGCATTGTTTTCGCTCCTTGCACTTTCTCTCGCTGGCTTGCTCCAACTCGCTCTACGTTACTCCATTTCTCTCTCTCTCTTGCTCTCTCTCCATCGCTCTCTCTCTCGCTCTGCCCCTGCTTGCTCTGCATGCATTTCTTTTTTGTTCCATGTGCATCTCTCTCAAGCGCCCCCTCGCTCGCTCACGCCTCCTCACTCACTCCCATGCCGTCTCTCTGCATCTCACTCCGCTCGCTCCTCACTCGCTATCACGCTCGTGGTTCACCAGCTCGCCTGCCTGTCAAGTGAGAGTGGAGTCCCCATTGTACGCGAAACGAGACGTGACGCCCTTGGAGTCGTCGCCGCCCACGGGATGAGAAAGCTCAAAGGCAGACCTTCCTGAGTTGCCTTCGCCCGTCGTTGAATGACCAGGGAGAAATTGGGCGACGATTGGCTTCATTATCATCTACTCCTCAATTGTTCTTGTTCTCCTTTTACTTTTTCAGATTTTTTGTTAAAGACATTATTCTTGGTGGGTTGGCGCGTGCCGCCACGAGAGAGATGTTGCGTCGCCGATTTTTAACAAGCGCCTGCCTCATTTCGGTGCATTTGCCCAGGATTCGGAGAAGCCTACCAATGCGCTAAATATTAATGTAATGTCAACTACTAAAATTTATGTTTCATTCTTGCAATTCACATTTTATACAATTTTCCCAAAAAATTCTTCTGAAATGGCTTTTTCAGCATTTCTTTACATGTCGGAATGTCTCTGTTTAGCTGTACTGTAACTTATTCAAACCTCGCTCTCCCTTGAAAGTGATCTCGCTGGGCTGTGAAAATATACAGCCCTTGGTCAATTCACTGCTGGATAAAGTGCTCCCCATCCATGCCATGTCGTGCGTCATGGGGATTGTTCGCCACGCTGATCGGTGTGGCTCGGTGAAGGGGTGGGTCCAGGACTCCCTTCAGATTATCACTTGCCACTAATGTTTTCCAGGGGCAGGAATCGATCAGTCTGTTTATTTAAGGGGTAAGACCCGTTTTGAGCAAAGAAGCAATTCTTTCCATGTTGAAACGGCCAAAATGGTTGAGCATGTGTAACATGAGAAGGGAGGGTTTTACACGTGTTGCAGGGACATTTTTTATAAACAATAAAAATAATCAACCAGAACTTTGTACAATGAATCCAGCTCGGAACACGGGGTTAGTAGTGCAGGGAATTAAGTGGAGTGCTACCGTTTCACTCCGCAATAGTCTCTTACCGAATCACGTCAAATGTCATCCTTCCCTATGTCTTAACATAATGTGAGAAACAAACACATTCCAGTGAAGCAGGAAACGCGCGCGTGTACACACACCCTGCTAATGGAAAGGTGAAACACAAGCACCGGCTTGTGGTATTAATTGAAGATAAGCTTCCAAGTTGTCTGGTGGCAAGACTCCTCACGGCATTTCTTCTAAGATTGGCGCCGAAGATGAGCGTCGCTTCCTGCTGTGCAGGGCGGCTCAACCTCGCACCGCCGCTATAAATAATGTGCGGTTATGGTGTTGGTTTTAAATAATTGCCCTGAGAGAGATTGTCGCCTTGCCTTGTGTTGAGTATCTCGTTTAACCTTACTTTTAATGTTAGGAAAAGGACATTTAGAAAGTTATCATCTGACTAAAATAGTAATGCAGTGCAAGCTGGATATAATCACAGTTCTGATAATAGCAGCACACGCTCACATTGCACTGGTGGGCAGAGGCAATGAGCCTCCTCAGCGTCGACTCTAATAGTATTTTACTGTATTGATACAGGAAAGCCTCAGTGCCTCAAGACTAATTTCTCAGAATTAAACAAATTATTTGGCAGATGCTGCTTTTTATTGACAGTGGTGCACAGACACAATTAAGGAAAAACTCAACACATTTGTGAATAACACTGTTGCCTTATAATATGTCATCATTGACGTTTTGAGCAGTGACCTCTTCTTCAGAGTAGATAATGAAAGGTAAACTTTTTCATGTTGATGGATGTGAGGTTAGTGTTTCAGGAGTGTGCACCTTCCAATGTTTAGCAGTCCCATTAACGGATGTTTTCTATGTGGGAGGAATCCAGAGTGCCCAGAGAAAAGCCACCATGCGTACGAGGGGACAACACTCATCACTAGATAGATTCCAAAATTAATTTGGATGTACTGCTATCTCTTTGCAACCTCGCAGCCCCAGGGTGTTTAGAAATATCGCAAAGCTTTGCTATATAATCCACCAACTCTTGCCTGCTATGCGTTGGATTAACGCTGCGCTTGTCGCCATATCCGCATCGCTCTAACGATGCGCTGCACGGCCGCGGTACGAGACGCAGGAAGAGCCTGCGTCTCGTAACCCAGCCATCTGGTCGTGCCTCGTCTCGTCTGTAAAAACGCGCGTCCAAGGTCACGTGACCTGGCGTGCCCGCATTGTGCGGCGCGCTAGCTAACTCGTTGACATTTTCATTGCCGGCAATTTTATTCCCCGTTGCGCGCAATTGCGTGACGTGCGCGGTTACTTTGACGCAAGCGCGGCGGTATGCGTACGCGGGAGATTGTGCTACGAGTTGTGCGTGGGGGCAGGAGGAGGAGCAGGTCAGGGAGTCTTGCCGTGGGGCTGCGTGCGCCTGTAATTCAATGCTCCGGAGGAGGCGGTATTGATGGATCGTGCAGATTTTTATCGTGTGGCTTTCATGTCCCCCAAACCCACCCGCATGGTGCTGGGTAGCTAGGAGTATGCTTCACACTAAGTGTGTTGTGTGTGACCAATCTGTGCATGTGTAGTGGGTCCAACTGAGTCTCAGACGTTGTTCCTTTTAGAGGCAAACACCTTTATTTGTGACACCGTAACACAAAGGGGTAACTGCCCCTTTACCACACTACAGTTACTGCTACGAAGGGTCGACCCCTCACTCGGGTCTCAGACCACGTGGTTGCCTCGTAGGACGGAGAGCTTCAGCTTGAGACGTAGAGCTTCAGCTTGAGACGTAGAGCTTCCCGCTTGTAGATGTTGAGCTTCCCGCTTGTAGATGTTGAGCTTCCAGCTTGTAGATGTTAAGCTTCCAGCTTGTAGAATGCAGCGACCCCGGTCCCTCTCGCCTTATATCCCTCTACGGTCGGGGCCCCTCCACCTTCGGCCCCGCCCGCCTTCTTGAACATTCTCGATCCTTCTCAAGAGCTCTCTCCGGACACGTGATCACCCACTAGTCCCCCCACTAGTCCCCCCACCTGGGGCCCCCTGTGTGGACATTTCGGATCACGTGTCTATGGGGTCAACCAGAGTGCCACGGCTCAGGGCAACCCTGCCCCTGGGCTCACACTCACCCCCTCGGGGGAGCCCCCACCACACGCTGTGTGTGGTGCCCGCACTATCCCAGTGCTCGCCAAGCCCCGCTAGGGCTGGTGTTACACACAGCCACCCACACGGTGCTGTCCACGATGTTGGAACATCGAACGGCAAGACCCTTCCGAGCCGGCACCATACAGCGACATCCCCGATGTCACTACAACATGCATTGGAGACGTTATTTTCCTTATTTGAGTGAGCTCTCTGCAGGTACTCTCGTTAAAACATAGAATCAGGCAAACATTCCAATGCAGGAACCCCCCCTTATAAACAAGACTCTTGAGAGACTATGCAAGGCTTGCTTGGATAGTGAAGGATGTTATATATTATGTATGGAGGCAGGACCGTGGTAATTGAATGACAAACATGGGGGTTATTTGACCATGCTGCAACCACGCTGGTCAGTGCAGGTTGAAAGTAGGGGAGCATAGAAGCACAGTACAACCATGAATTGTTTTGCTTTTTACTTATTTATTCAAAGTGGGCATGGACCCGTTGCATTACTTGTGTCGGGGGTTGTTTGACCATACTTAACACCGGTCACTGCACATTGGCGAAGAGTGGCTGGTGGGAGATCACCGAGGACCAGTTCAGATATCACCATGAATGCTAGCCAGAGGCAGGAATATAACTCTGGTTGCCAGGTTCATCGCGAATAAGTATAACCCGTAAAAACAAAGTTTTTCACTCTAAATCCTTTATATGCGCGGCGGCTAGAGTCCTCTCGTCCTCTGGCTTGAGATGGCTGCCACCTATGGGTCAGATGATTGTCTGCCAGTATTAAGCAATTGGTAATTAAATATTTAATTTGTTTTCCCTAAACCGTGTAAAATTTTGGAAAAAAAATTTCACGAACATTAATTGTCTCGCACAACGAGTCTGTGTGCAAAATGTCAGCTCGATTGGATCACGGGAAGTGGGTTAAAAAACGACGGAAAGATTTGCACAGTCGTAAGCACGCAAGCACGCAAGCACGCAAGCAAGCAAGCAAACTTAATATAAAGGATTTAAAAATTAAACGGGCAAGTCCTGATCGTCGGTGCCCACCCTCCCCTCACCCCCGTGTTGCCGTGTTGCCGACAGGTGGCTGTGAAGAACAACATTGACGTGTTCTACTTCAGCTGCTTGGTGCCGCTCAGCGTCCTGTTTGTGGAGGATGGCAAAATGGGTGAGTTGGCCCGCAGCGCCAGCCCCCCCCCCCCCACCACCTTATCGCGAACGAAATCCCTCCGGGGGAGAAAACTCTCTTTACGTGCACGGTTCGTCTCGCTTTGTTTCCCAAACGGTAAACAAGTCGGTGCCTCTGCGCTTCTGCGAACGGCCGACGTTTCGCTGGTCGCATGTCATGGGTGCGTTGTCATTCCACGTTGTGCGTGTGTCATCGCCACATTGTTGCCCACGCCTCTTCATCCGGTGCCTCCCAGTCGTTATGGTCCCGGTGTCAAATTTGTTCCAATTGTTCGCGCGGTTGCGTTGTATCGATTCAACGTGGCCGGTATGATCCAAAAGGTATCATTGAATCCTTGACATTTGCATTGTGATTGAAACGATTTGAGGGGGCAAATTGCATTCCATTTCACGTAAATGGGATTTATGAATACGGTGATGTCCCGACGTGTTTCAGATGCACGTCTGCGCGCGGCAATTTATCCGAATAAATAAAACAATGGCAACACAACAGAAACGAGCGTAACCGTCGAGCGCATTTTTTTTATTTCACGCAGTGCCAACCGGCTGGTATTTATGTGCATAAAATTTAATGCTGCAGGTTTTTGCACGTAAAAAGTCAAACACTTTTCTGGAAAGCTGGACGTGCATATTCGTTAATTCCCCAAGATGTTTAGTTGAAAGCGCAGGCAACGAGCCAGATCGTTTTCTGTAACTAAAGCGTGTTTAGTGAGCTCACGGACAAACTTGCCGCGCATTTACCCCCGCTGTAACCCCCGTATCTGCACGGCCTACTGCTGTTCGGGAAACATAACGGTTTGTCTATTCGCACGTAAAATCATCGGCCATGATCTATCCACTGCTGGATGAAGATCCCCCCCCCCCAACCCGTTACCATCGGCTTGATGGATCCTGCGATGCGACAGTCCATCGCCTACGTGCGAGTTGATTTAATCGCTCCACATCGCCTCTCAGGCATGTTCTCTGCTTTGACTGCGGCTCCATCGTTAGTCTCGACCACCGACCCGTCCCATCCCTGTTAATGGTGGGCATGCCCAAGCGCGCTTATTCACCGCAAAAGTGAATCTTGCCGCCCCACTTTTATGGCAGATAACAGCTTGTAACGTACCGTGACGATGTTTAATCACGGGGTTAAGCAAGAGCGCCCGTGTTCCCGTTCACGAGCATTTGTATTCGTAACTCTGCAAGTGAAATTGCCCAAACTCACTTGTTAGCTTTTACAAGCGTCTTCCCACACTGTAAACACATTACAAGAGTGCTTAAATCAACTGGAGCCAACTCTATTGACTTCCTGTTAGGAATGTAACAATTCCCACCCCCACAGCATTTATAACATTTCGGGGTCAATATAAAATTCAGGAACCAATTATTTATTGTGTAATTTTTGCTGTCTTTGTTCGTAACAGGTTTTTATTTTCTCTATTAGCCTTACTATAAAATTGGCATATCATTATTAGGTAACATGCAACCAGCGATGAATCCTAAATCTGTAATTCTCACACACGCACAGTTCAATGTGTGCATCGTGAGCCTATAAGTTAAATTTTAATCGGTTAATCGATCCATCATTGCACGCGCGGTTATCGGTCCTGGGCCGTAAGCCAGAAACCTGTTTCGAAAACGGCTGTCGGATCGGTGCGAGCGGAAAACTCAACACGCACACCCAACGCATGCCGTATACAAGTCCAGCAACCCTTCGGAGAGCTGTGAAGCACGACCACAACAATCGCACGCAGTCGCTTTTCAAACGCACGCTCCTCTTGCGTGGACGCACATTTAGCCGCATGATAACCACCGGAGGCCGCTGTATTTCTGTTCGTCGTTTATCAGAGCCGCCCCGGCAAACGAAGCGCCCTATTTAATCTCACGCAGTCCGCGACGCGCCTCCCTGGCCGCCCCCGTAATGACCCCTCCTGAACCCTTCAAGGTGGAAGCTGGGATCATCGGAATCTTTTTTTGATCTTTATTAATGCTGGAGGAACCTGATGAGACCACGGTGTGACGAGCCCCGCGTTGTTTCTTAGCACCACGCCCGAAAACCCGCGGCCGCTCCACGTAGCTCCGTTAGTCCTCCCGCCCGCCTCCACCATCCCATTGGCCTGGCATCGTTGGCATGGGCCCTGGTGTAAGGAATTAAATGGGACCGCTGTTCTGATTTTTTCACCCACCTCTTCGTAACCACCGGGGCTGGAGGGGCCCAGGCACCGGGAGTCTGCACCGCCTGCACACTCGATATCTTCGCCACTTGACCGTACCTTCCTTCACATCCCTTCTCTTGCCTTCTCTTTCTTACCTGAGCGCCACCACACACACACACACGGAGGAGGCGGTGCTGCTTGAGGCCGTTCATATTTGCTCAGTGGCGGCCGCCATAATTGATCCCCCCGGGGTGTCGCCCAGGTGCGACACGTGTGGTTAGGAAGCCGTGGGATCTCGCGGAATTTAATAAGTTCATGCACCGGAAATGGGTGGGGGGGCGAGGAGGAGAGTCGGGCGCTTTCTATTCCTGGAGACAGATTCCCTCCGGAGGCTTTCCCTGGCCGTGTCGGATGAAGCGTTTCGGAGGGAAACCTTCGTCTGAGAGCGTCAGCTTGTTGTTCGGGCTGGCGGCGAGTCAGAGGTGGGGACGATGCATCGGTTTATCGATGTCACCATATATATCCTCATTCCTACGCCCGTGATGTATTTATTGTTTCGTGTGCTTAAGAATTGGTGTTAAAAAAATGTGTACATTGTATATCATGTGTTTTGTTGTCATCCCTTCCAGCTACGAGTGGCCATATTATTTACCAGTGTTAAAAACGTGTTTTTTTATTGATTCTTGACTTGATTTGTGAGCCTGAATCGCGACAATTCATCGAGTCGCCAAGGGCACGAATAATTCCACTCCAGAGTGCTCCAGTGTGTCTGTCGGCACATGTGAGTTTGCGTGCATTTGTGGAAACCGGTAGCATATGAGTTGGCACACTATGCTGTGGCCTAAGGGTGACCTGAGTTAAATTCCCCGCCAAAGCTAACACCATTCAGGAGTGATATCTGAACCTGTTCTGAGCCTCCCCTGAGGTGACACTGCCCTTAATGACTGTGTGATGCGGTGTGGAAACACGTCTGTGTGGGAGTGAGTGTTTTGCCTGTGACATCCTGCCAGCAAATTATTGGCCACTTCACATGGCTTCAAAGTGTTCCATGCGTGGTACGAGCACAGCACTTAGTGCTGTTGTTTATTTTCGGTAAACGTTTTCTTGCGTGGGTGTGTGGAAGTACACGTGTGTGTCTGTATTTCGCAGTGCTGCGGATGTTAGAACATACTGTATGACGAAACCGAGCGAGCCGAGTTCAATTTCCAGCCATGGCTGACATCAGTGGCGAGTGATTCGGTCCCGGCCTTCCGTTAGGTTGACTCTGATTTAAACGAGAATCTGTTTCTGTGTGAACATAAGCACTGGGAGAGGCGAGGGGACCAGTGCGCTGTGCTGGTCACATCGTTCACCTCTCGCGCCTTTCCAAGCCTAAATAGGTGCTCGCGAACAGCACTTATCCCAGCAATGGTGTAAACAGCAACGCTAGGAACCTTCATCTTTCGTCCGTCTGCATTGTTGTTATTAGCCCCCACCACTTCATGAGTCCAGCAATCTTAAGTTTAAATCTTGGCCGCATGGTCCGTATCGTAGCTTGAGGTGCACACTAAACCCCCTCGTCGATGCACGGAGCTTGCGTGCCGTGCCGTTGCTCTTCAATTACCCGTTTAATTCTCAACGGCCGCTTGACACAAAGCCAATGTTTTAATCCATGGCCCCTTTTCAACAAAGGAGAAAAACCATCCATTAATCATTATGAGCAGACTAGCATTTCGGTGCGCGTGCACCCCGGCTGACCTGGCTCGTGGATCTGCCAGCCCTGCTCCCCGGCACGCCGACCTTGCCTCTCGGCATGTGCTCTGTGAATGTTTTATGCGAGGGGATTGACTCGGCGGTTTTTAGCTCTCCGCGTTGACTCCACGGAGGCTCGCCATCCCGCTGCCTCGTGCGTACGGCCTCCTCTTGACCATGAGGACGGTTCTCGGCTGGCCGAGCGGCCCCACCGCGTGCAGTCGACGCCCGTTCCCTTTCACGCCTGCCAAGCCAGCCAGCCTCCATTCCTCCCATCGGGGTTGAGGAAGGTTAGAGGGGTGAGATTAATGCGGAGCATTCGTCAGCCACAGTATGACACATTTCATCCGTCACTCCCCCACCCACCCCTCACCCACCGTCGTTCCCTCTCGCATGCCCAATCCGCCACCCCCCTGCTCACAAGCGCCATCCTTCCACGCTCTTCCGGCTTGTCCTGTAGACTGTCGGCGCATTTGGCCTTGTGTGCGAGTGTGTAATTGAGGCCCCGGGGCATTGGGCTGGAGTGGCATGCTGTTATTCCCCTCTAAGGATTTCTCAACTTATTAATCAGCTCCTTATACATTCCCCCAGCAGCAACTTGTTGTCTTCCCTGCTTTAGACTCTGTGTTGAGGTGGCTAGGGCAGGCGACGTGTTTCGTTTGTGCTCCCGGGGGAATTTTCTGTTAGCAAGCTCTTACTCCCACAGTGATATCCTTTTCTGTATTTCTCAACTTATTATAGAGCTGCCTTTGCATTCACAAATCATGTCATGGTATTCCCTGCCCACGCAACGAGGCTTAAGACTTTGTGCAGGGGTGACTAGTTCAGGCCATCCTCTTCTTTATTCTAGTGGGGTAATTGCTGGCATTTTGTGAGCTATGATTAAAGGTCAAGTGTGGAGTGCGCAAGAGCGATGGGACCAGCGCTGCGTACGCCTCGCCACCATGGGCTGATGTGCATGCTACGCACCTAACGGCAGTTTGGTACTGCACATCTTAATGGGGTACTCAATGTCCGAATGATATACTCCATGTATTGTGCCTTCGTTGGTCTAATGGGACTGGCTGCATTATACTCGAGGCACAGTTTGTGTGATATGGATGTTTGGTGTGGGTGGTGATGGTTGGCATCGGTGGTGTTCTGGTGGCATCTTAGGTTTCAGCTGGCTGTTGAAAACCATAAGCAAGCAAGAATTTGATTAAACGTGTTCAGCTGGGGTTGGGATCCTCCGTGTCCCCCCACCTCTCGATGCTGAGGGTTATTAATGGGGGAGGTGCAGGACTGGCTCAGCCAACCTACGAGTTTAATCACTGAATCGATGCGAGTTTCGTTACATTCCCAATTATACCTAGATTACATAATTAAAATCGGAGTAATTTTTCAACGTCGGAAAAAAACGTCTTGCTTAGAGACTTGCCCTTGGACTTTTGCAAGCGGATATCTGTAATGTTTATGCTAAATGGTTTTATATTGGCATGTCGTTGCATATGATTTACAATAAGTCGCAAATGATTGATTCTCACCCACGGGTATCGACGTTTGTATCGTTAGCTTAAGAATCTATGAGTTTTTACCCATCTTTACGTTCCCAGTTATCGACCCAGGACATAAGCCGATTGCTTGTCTCAAACCAACTTTTTCATCTTCCGCGGATGCTCGGCTAGCCGAGCGTCGACCACGTGCCACGATCCGACGCGTGCATTGCGGGCCTTGAATTTTTCGCAAGCGCGGCGTACCTGCAAATGTAGCCGTTAAATGTTTAACGCTGCAACAGGAGGGGGGCGAGAGTGAGTTTTTGCGCCGCTAAATGACTTCCGAGCCAGTTAAGCCCCCCCCCCCCCCCCCGCTCGTCGAGGGAGTGGAGATTGGATTGAGTAAACCTGCTCGGGCTCAGAGCTGCACACGCCGGGACACCGGCTTTTTTAATGAGCACGTTTTGCACACGTTGGCGCCCGTGCCTCTCTCGCGACCACCGAACGCGTTGGCGTCGGTAATTTTAATGGGATTAAAACGGATCTCCCATCCGGCTTACCTTGAATTAAAATGAATATTATTTTAACGTTCCCGTTTGAATGGCAAGAAAGCGCTACGGTGTAGCGGTCCGTGTCCTGTACTGCACTCCAATCCCACTAAAAGCTGGGATCCATTCCCAGCAGCTGCCGCCGTGCGCACGCACACACACACACAAACATAGCCGCGAATTGGTATCTGAACATAGGTCTTGGCCACGTGAGCTTGACTCGACTAAAAGGATAACTTGCGTGGAAGGTTGAACCTGAAAACTGTAAGTTGACATCAAGGCAGCCGTGTATGCAGAGTTTGGTCCCACATCTCCTTTGCACGCTGTGTTTGCCCAAATAGGAACTCGCTAATGAATAGCAGGGGTTGAGAAGAGATGTATTGGTTAGTGCACTCCGCTATGAGCCTATTGACCTGAGCTCAAGTCCTGGCCATGGCTAACGATAGCGGAGAATGACATCGCAGACTCTCGCCGTCGTAGACACGCGGCGCTGTCGTGGAAACACGGCGCCGTCGTGGAAACACGGCGCCATCGTGGAAACACGGCGCCGTCGTGGATACGCGGCGCGTGCGCCCTCGCTAACGAGCGGCATCACTGCCACTTGGTTTATTCTTTAACGCCCCGTGGCGTAAATATGAGCCACGGTCATTGCATGCATTACAGGGATTTAAACTGACGGAACAATCAAAAACAATGAGGCTGAGTGTTGCTTTAATTTTCTAATTAGCACCACTCCAATGATGTGGTGAAATTGTCATGATTTGTAGTCGAGATGTGACTCAAAGGATAGGTTTTTTCTTACGTAACAAAAACTCAACAAATTCGTCAATAACACTGCTTTCAAAAGAAAGAGTATACAATAGATGACATTTCGGGGAATGGCCATTCTTCACAGCACATACGAAATGCCCGATTCACAAATACGAAGCAGACATCACAGCGATCCTCTGCTACCCCTGACGCGGTTATCTGGCTTGACCACCTGAATGTGAAATTGCAGTTGCTCTGTAATGCTTGCAACGAAGAAAGACTTTGGTTGGCACAGTGGTTAGCGCACTACGCCATGGACCTGGCGACCTGGGTTCGATATTCATTCCCGACTACAGCTAATGTGAGTGGGGGCCCCTTTCACCAACCCACGCTGACCATCGTTGTGAAGTATTGTAAAACAAAACTCCTTGACCAAATACAGCATTATTTGCATCCTGCGGTGGGTTTGACAGAGGGCCAGTCATGTTACACAACGCGTACAATGCTGTTTCTTGTTGCGTGTCTGCGTGGCGTGTCGCTGTCCGTAGAGAAGTGCCACAGAGCGTTCGCCGTGCGAGCAGATGCGTATTACATGTTGCGTTGCTTGACATTTGTGATTTGTGTGTTTGTTTTATATCTGCGCAGACCGGCAAGTATTCCTAGCGACATGGAAGGACATACCGAATGAGAACGAGCTGCAATTTCAGATCAAGGACTGCCAACTTGGCGCAGGTGAGTCCAGCACTTGGGTTTGGCGTAAAACAATAATGTTAAGAACTGCTACTTATCATAAACAAGCTGGCATGGTAGTCAGTTAAGGGAGCTTCCACATACTTTGCGCAGTTCACTGTGCAGAGAAGTTGGCGCACCGCATCACGCAAATGCACCCGTCAACGGCGCAAACTTTTGTACAACAGGATTATGTTGCTTTTGGTTTTAATAATAAAAATACTTTCATGAAAGTGTTTTGAATCCAATTCCCCCCCCCCCCCAAGAACTAGTCTGATCTCTGAGATTATAGATATAAGATTCAAGGATATAAGTTTTTAGGAAATGTGTAGTTTCGGTGAAAACAATGCGAGTCTTGGTGCCCTTGGATGCGCCGCATACAGGGGTGGGGGAGGGGAATGTTATATTTCCCGAGGGAAAGCAACGAGAGTAACCTCTATCATCCCCTTAAAAAATAAACTCTGGAAGTCAGTCCGTGCAGCGAGCAGCAGTCAAGACTATATGCGCTTGAGATTATTAATCGCGCAGGCTGTCTGCACTGTGTCTTGTGTTCGGCGCGGTTTTTCACTTTAGGCTATTGCGCTCCGTGGAAGATGGATAGGCGAAATATTTCACGAGGAGTGTGCCTTGAGACTTGTGCGGCCATGCGTGTGCACGTGCCTGCCTGCGTGTGTCCGTTTTTGCTGCTTGCGAGGTCCGGAGCAGCGGTTATCGAGCTTAGCACACAGTGCTACAAATCCGGCAACCTCGGTTTGATTCCAGGCCACGGCTTGCCATCTGTGGCCATTTCCTAAACTTTGGGCCTACGCTAGTTTGACTCTTGAGTACCTGCTGCGAGGTGTATACATCGGTACTGGGGAGACAAAGGCTGCTGAGCGTGGTGCTGAGACCACACCACCCCCGCACGTGCCATGCCTGCTTTCATAGGCGCTTGCAAACTAGCAATTTCCTAAATAGTTGATGTAGGACTACATGGAAGATATTTGTTTCCTACCCTGCAGTTCGTGCAAATACAATCTATGTTGGCAGCCCAGCTTAGAGGGTTGACAATCGTCTTAGTGGCTGGCCCTTAGCCAGAGTTGGAAATTCCACATTACATGTGGCAGGAGTTACTCTCTTTATACCACATCCACGCTTGATATCTCACAAAGCGCTACTCACTTCATCAACCCACAAACGATGGTTTGCTGCATTAACTCCAAACCGGAATTTTATTAACTCACTAAATTGACATTTTCATTCAGTCAGGTGCTCCAATGGCAATGCCATCCGGCTGGATTTGAAACAACAGAGTCGTAGTTGTAGTAGTAATAATGAGCACTCACTTTTTCTGAATCTTCTCCAAAGCTGCCATTAAAGTAAAAGTGGCACAGCTGTCCGGTATATATTTTTACAGAGCTTGAAAACTGAATTGAGAAAGGAAATCCTATAAACAAATATGACAACATTTGGGCACAGATCACCACGGCGCTCGCCCAGTGTCGCTTGTACACGCACGCAGGGCACAAAACCTCGCTGCAGACAGAGTTGCACCACCTGCACAGCACACAACAACTACAGAACACTAGTAGTCGTATTAAGAGCCCTTTTACTCATTTTGTCCAAAGCTGCTTTCAAAATAATTGTGGCGTTTCATATACGGGGCCGTGACATGGCCCAGCACGACCGCTTTTTACCGGAGGTTCATGGTTTGAATCACAGCGGCCACCCTGGTTATTACTTACTGTAAGGGTGCGTTAAACGGTGAAAATGCTCTGCATCTCGGTGGATGCTCACGTTGCCGCCGTGGTGGCCATTCGCAAGAGGAGGCCATTTGTGTAAAGGCGTCGTGGTCCAAATTTGCCGAATTTGAAAAATGACCCCGAAAAGTTGCTCAGTTGGGATTACGCATGGCAATCATTGCTCTCTTCTGCGACAAAAATTGGCAGGAGGAACCTGAAAAAGTCGCGAGACTTCAAGATCTGAATGTTTAGACTGGAAAAATCCGATGAGCTGTGAAGCTCTTTTTCACATGTCCAGTATGGCCGTGTCAGCAAATTACAGCAGCAAACAATGCAAACATCTCTCGGAGTGCAACATAGAGAATAAGGTAAGCAGGTCACTAAATATAAATAAATCATGAATAAATTAATTATGTACGTCCGATTGATCACGCTTGGGCAAGGCAGTAATAACAACAACAACAAAATTTGTATTCATATTCTTAGTTCTTTCGTTAAAGTCACGTAGATAGAAAATAAAAATAACATAATTAAATAATATGAAAATTTACAAATACAAATAATAAATTGAAAATAATAAAAGCAAAAAACCCACGACGTTTCGATCGCAACACAAGCGGTCTTCATCAGGCAGAGAGAAAAGAGGGGGCAAGCCTCCAAATGCACATCTTATGGTTATGTAGAAAACCCTCCCCATAGAGGCGGTTAAGTTTAATAACGACAAAACAGTCCCCAGACCACGCCAAGATAACACCACACAGTAGTAGCCCCTCAATAAAATGGTACATGAACATTGACTTCGTGATGCTTTCCTGGGAAAACAAGCAGAATAATACTACCTAATTGTACGTACATGTACGTAAATATGTGCAGGTTGGAAATGCAGAGCGTAAAAATAGAGGCATCATTTAAGGATGCGTTCCTGAAAAGTTGTCTGGAAAGTGAAATTTCGTTTATCGAACCCCGTGTTCCTATTGGCATCCATGATGTAATTGGAGATGTGTTCCGACTGAAAAATGTCTTCCCCGAGAGGTAATAAAATCGCACTTAAGAATGCAGCAAACCTTTTTTTAACTGCATTTCATGGAAAAATCAATCGTATAATAAAATATTAACAATACTCAAAATAACATCGTGGGAATCGAGCAATCCGAAAGGCATGCTCGGATAGGCGACTGGCCGTGAATCGTTCGCTGCCTCCCCCAAATAAAATTCAGAGATGCACAATTCTGTAAACGCCAATTTGGCGTAACATCTGTCGAATTAATGACCTAACCTAATAAGGTACATTATTGCGAAATTCCGTGTATTCGGTTGTACGAGCAGGATAATGTCGTACAAGAGCACGAATTTCATTTTACTGCAAAGAGCGAGGTAACAATAGCGGCTGGTCGTCAATAACGCGCTGCCTTTCTCATTCGCATACAGGGCACAATCCCACGCGCGAGCCATGGTGCACCGTGCATGCAGCACACCAGAGTGGTCTTGGCAATATCAATGAGAGCTTTTTGTACGCGTCCTCTCGAAGGTTGCTCTCAAACATAAATGCGGCACTTCATATCGGACTCTTTATACACGCGCGCAGGTTGGAAACAAGAGTGGACGAAATAAATTATATGAGCTTTGATCAAATTGTGACAAGATTGTAATATAAATTGCACATGAAGAGAGATACAATAGCTGCAGCTGGTTTAGACACACGGTTTTTCACTTCGTGTAAAACACACGGAGCACAACACGGCACAAGTCGTGCACACAGCAAACACAGTTACCGTGTACAGTTTGCTGCAGCTCTCCGATGCGTTGTTGGGCGTGTACTGCGTGTTGTTCGGGATGATGATGTCTGGTGTGTCGGCTCCACATCCTGGAAGCTTCCTCAGTCCCAGTAAACATTGTGGAGTTGCACAGCAGTCTCAAAATCCTATATCAGCAAAAAACACTCTGACTTACTCTCTGGTTCTATCAATAAAGTCACGTAGGTATAAAATAAAATTAAATCACAATGTTTCGATAGCAGCACAAGCAATCATCATCAGGTGGGAAAACCACAGCAAGAAAAATGTTTTGCCCCTCCCCCCTCTCTTACCTATATAACCTCTTACCACGGCATCTCTCTCCCACTTCAGCAAAAAAAAATCTTTCTTGCTGTGGTTTTCCCACCTGATAATGATTAATTCTAGATTTGAAGCTTTCGTGACTGCAAAGATTCATATTCTTAGGTTTTTTCGGTTAAGTCACGTAAGTAAAACATCAAAATAAAAATAAAATAAAAATAAAAATCACGACGTTTCGGAGGAGACTTGTGTTGCCTCCGAAACGTCGTGATTTTTATCTTTATTTTATTTTTATTCTGATAATGATTGCTTGTGTTGCGATCGAAATGTCGTGATTAAATTTTATTTTATTTCTACCTACGTGACTTTACCGAAAGAACCAGAGTATGGATTCCTGGAGTCACGAAAGCTTCAAATCTGGATACTCTGACTTACTGTATTTTTGTCTGAATCCTTGTATCTTGTCCGGATGATGTAATTTGAAATGAAACGTCGTATATAGCATAACTAAATTTGCTAGCAAGAATTATTCTTCAACTTCGCCACGGCGAGCTGAAACGATAATAGTTGGTGCATCGTTAAACGCTTCCATGCCACGTGACAACTTGATTTGTTTGGCTGTGTCAGGTAGTGGTGGGGGGGGGGGGTTAAAGACACAAATTTGACCGGAGCATTATGAGGCCTAAGCAAAAAATCAATTGCGAATCAGGATATTGGCTGTGAAACCCCACGTGTGTTAAGTAGTATAGTTTTTCAAAAGAATACGAGTGGATATACAGTCTGTTCTCCTATACGCTGTAGTTGCGTTCCTTAAGAACACTGCGTTATGGAAAATTTGCGTCATGATGTATAATATAGGGTAAAGCACAGTCCGCGATAACACGTGAGATGCGTAGGCAGGCTGAACAATGGCTGAGGCGCATGAGTAGCATTACTCTTTGGTTCTTTCGGTAAAGTCACGTATAAAGAGAAAATAATTAATTAAATACTAGCATACGACGTTTCGATTGCAACACAAGCAATCATCATCAGGTATAAATGATGATTGCATGTGTTGCAATCGAAACGTCGTATGCTAGTATTTAATTTATTAATTTCTCTTTATACGTGACTTTACCGAAAGAACCAAAGAGTAATTCCTGCAGTCACGAAAGCTCCAAATTAAGTATGAGTAGTATCTAGACACATCCAGCAGCATCTCGCCTTGTACGATGCTACGCCGAGGCAG